AGTACTTTTTGAGTATATCCCTGACATACATACAGACAAACAGACAAAAAATCTAAAAACTATATTTTTGGCTTCAGTATAGATAGAAGATCACACCCCCTATTCTTTTAAAAAAATAGTAGTTTTGACTTTCCTACCATTTGATTATATGTATATAGATAGATAAATTTAAAATAAGTAATTGTAAACATATTATTTTTCTTATTTCTGGAAGCTTATTATGTGCACTTTATTTAATTGATATACACAAAACTAAGATCAATTAAGTATATCTACTTATATCCCTGAGGAGCTTGATGGTGCCACGACTATTGGGTTCGGTCTACTTGTCATACTTAACCAACTTTCGCATAAGCCAAACTTTCAATTACATCACATCTTATTTAGGCATTGTTGTGATAAAGGATGCTTTTTGTAATAATATTATGGGGATAAATGATGGCTAATCCATCACTTTATGGTGGTTTCTGAAGTTGATGAACTAATTAATTACCATCTGCACAGGAAGGTTAGCAACTGACACATTCTAATGTTTTTTCTTTCACTCTTTCTTATTACACACACTTTCTTAGATTAGAAATGTTCACTATTTTTATACAAGTAGGTAAGTATATCAAGTAAATATTTATAGTTATTGTTATGGTTGATAGAGATCACTAATACAGTTGCTATTTATTCAATTAAATTGTTTATTGAATGTAACATTACAGAGCTATGAGTTAGAACACGAGCATTATTTGTAATGAATGCCTGTAAGTAGGGTTGCCAGTTGTACTTTACCATGATAATTTTGCAGTGTCACCAGTAATCTGGTCATACCAGAAAAACTTGATCTGGCAGCCCTTTTACGAGGTCATTCAAAAATGTCACAAATGTCATGTCATGCATGAATCTTTCGTTTGAAGAACATTTTTTGAAATTTTTTGTTAGTAGAGTGAATAAAAGAGAGAAATGTGGAGTCGGAGAAGTTATTTATTAAATAATAAGTTATAATAAATCTACAAAATATCAAGTGAAGTCAGTTCTTTTGAAAAATGAGCAATTTTATGAAGATATCTAACTTCAAAAGTTTGTTTTTGTATAGCTATTTTTTATTTACATATCAACTGTTACATTCATATAAAGTTAGATAATATATTAGTTACGGAGGATTTATTTCATAAAAAATAAGTTCATAAAACATATTAATTTATAGTAGTAATTCTATTCGCAAGATTTTTGTTTTACACTAATTGAAAATTTGTTTTCTTAGGTAGGTACTTTATCTACAGATGATTGTATCACAATAGGAAATGCTGTGCAGAGTTGACCAAGAAAAAGAAATGAGGTTGAGTATGAACTTGAAGGGAGAGATATTAAAAATGTAAGAGGAGAGGTTGTTTATAAGAAGAACCGAAAAAAATAGGAAGTTGACTGGGACATTTAATATGAAGGAATTCAAGTTTTGGATTCTTAACTATCTATCAGTAAAATAACAATTTGAATTTTTTGAGATATTTTTTTTATTTTATATACCTAATGGTAAAACAAGGCCAATCGAAATGGCTCTCGGATATGTGCGCAAACAACAATAAAACTATTTTTGACAAACATTTTTTTTGCCAAAGATCCAAAATAGCATTCACTAACTATATATGGCATGCTAGGAGCAATTATTATTTGCTCCTAGTTGCAATGCATTACGTGTTTTAGTTTTGCAGTACTGCCATGTGAAAAGTTTTAATTTTTGCTACTGTCAGTCTTCTGCAGTCTTATTATGGTCCAACTGTACTTATGTAGGTGTACTCTATAACACTAAAAGAGGATGCTCAGATGCTCTTTTTTACAGTGTTTACTATACCTACTAGTGCTAGTCTATTAAAAATAATGAAAAGTTGTTATGTGCTGCAGAGAGTACCAAAAAATATCTTTATAAATTTTTTAAATAAATGATACTCTTTTTTATAACTCCATACTCTTTAGTTTGGCTTAAAAAGGACTAGAATCCAGAGCCATAAAATATATTAATAAAAAAACCAGACTCTTTAATTACCTCCTTTGAAATTAGACATATTCCGCTTCTTCTAATAAAAGTTGGAAACAATGTAAGGGCATAGAAAATTATATACAAGCATTATTATATGTATATTATTTTTTTCTGAGATAAATAATTTTACATGAGTCCTGACAAATAGTCAGTGAATGATTCATCTGAGAAAAACAATAATAATAATATTATTGTATATATATAATTCTTCAGTGAGTGTGTATGTCACTGAACTTCTCTTAAACGACTGGACCGATTTTGATGAAATTTTTTGTGTGTTCAAGGGGATCTGAGAATGGTTTAGATTAACAATTTTGTCCGCTGGACAACCCCTATTTTTTAGGGCGGTACGAAGTTCGCTGGGTCAGCTAGTATTATTGTATATTCATAGAAGTAAATGAAATTTTCTAAAATGGGTCTAAACACAATGAAACTTTAATCCAGTGGTTATTAAACGGTCGTCCACAGACAACTGGTGGTCCCTGGAAACCACCTGCAGTGGTATAATCACTCCAGTACATAGACATCACAAGAGCATTAACAGAAAAACTTCATAATTGGCAATAAATATGTTTATATTCAGATGCTACTTAGGTCACTCAAAGCATCCCCAATAGTTAATATATTTAAATAAACAAATGAAAACATTACTTATTATTGTTTAGATTGAATTCTGCATTTTCTATTACGTCACCTGCTAATTAGTGACAAAAAACAAATAAAAATTCTGAAAATACCTCATTTATATTACATTACTTCCAAATAAAGTTTTGTGTCAAAGTATTTATGATAATGACAATATGAAACATAAATATATAGGTGGCTAAATATTTGCCTAAATATTATACTAAAGCTGGTTTATAATAAAAACTAATTCCTTTGCTTATAATATAATGTTTCGGAGTTGAAATTTTCCATTTTTTATACATATTTACAGTTTTTCTAAATGAGTAAATAAATACAGAAACAAGTAGTGATCGTTATTATTAATTTGTTAATTGACTAAGATGCATATTTGTAATTATTTAAATCAAAAAGAACTTTAGAACTCTCCTTCTTTTGAAAGAAATAAATTTCTAATACAAGAGAATGTGCGCGGTAGGCGGTAGTTTAAGATCATTCTTAATGTATTCAAACAGGAAGAGTTGGATAATGTATATTACCTTCTAATATATTGTATTAAAAAGAGGTCTATTTTCATTCAACCTGGATTTCATTATATACAAAGAATAATAATACAATTTAACACAAAAAAGCAGCAGTGTTTTATAGGTTATGGAAAGTATCATTTAAAAAATAGATTACCTGCAAAAACGTGTGCACCGATTGGGAATTAGTTTCTAAAAGGTACTTACTTTCAGTATTTGCGTCCACTTCGAATATTTCACTTGTAAATTATCACTAAATGTTCAAATAAACTTGAGGTAAACAGTATAGCCGTAACGTCACGCAAATCCGAACATAGTGCTGTACCAATCACGAATTTTAATGATGACAGTTGTCATAACCTTATTCGATTATCTATTTAATCAAATCAGAGTAACGATATTATTGGTTAATAGCGCAGTGGAATTTCTGCTTTTTTTACATAACTAAAATATTATCGTTTGATCCTGGTTGATTATCCCTATCTGCTTTTTTTATTTATTGAAATATCCATAATAACTTTAAACAAAAGAATAATAATTAATATTTGATGAAACGCCTAAAATAAATGTTCTTAATTAAGTAGTATGTCTTTAATGACTTAGTCTTAGTCATGACTACCTCCGTGGCCGAGTGGTTTGTACGCCGGGTTTCAAGGTGTCGCCAACTCGACAGGTCCCGGGTTCGAGTCCCGGTGGGGGCAGATGTTTGTGTGATGAATACGAGCATTTGTACTCCAGTCATGGATGTTTCATATGTATTTCTATATAAATATACTTATATATGTACTGTATATGTATTCTATCCGTTATCCTAGTATTTCATAACACAAGCCTTACAGTGCTTACTTTGGGGCAAGGCTAATTGGTGTGAGTGTTGGTAATATTTCTTTATTTATTTAATATTTAAATACGAAACTCAATATAAGCAGTACCTGAAACGAGCATACTTGCTATAAAACTTGCTCATCATGTTTATTCTTTTTAGTGTTTCTTTCTACTCCTGTGCCACGTAATGTACAAACATTGGCTAAACTTTAGGTTGACCTCTGAACGAAGATGAACTTAGGCAATCTCATATAAAAATGTTCGCGCGAGCTCTATCTTCAACTGAAACATAGAGATACTCATTCATTAGTAATAAATAAAAACTGAAAAATAAAAACACATTATAGAGTTGATAAGACTAACTTTATGTATACCCATACCCATACATCTATAAAAAACGTCCACTTAAGTTTTTCAGTTTACTTAATCTACAATGGTGTCGACTGATCGAATGGTGTCCACCAATTTCTTATTGTAATTTAATTAATTTAATTTCCAGCAGTAAGATTACCTATCAAAGCAATACTTAATGGACTATCAAAATAAACTATAAAATCGATAGTATATTGTTCAGGAATCGACTATTTATACACCTCACTAAACATGTTGAATGTGACCAGATGCAAGCTGATTGGTGGTCGATGAGAATAGAATGGTTCTTTCGGCCAATGAGAAAGTAGCAAACGGTCTGAAAAGGTGGCGTGATCTCTACGTCATCCTATCAAAATATCTATAGATGCTATACACATACACTAGTGGTTCTTGGTATTTAGGTATACAATAATTTTGATCAATACCTGAAAGTAAAAATTACAATAATATAGTTAAACAATGCTTTCACAAAAAAATAAATTAACATTTATAAATAAGCTTTTATTAAACCCAGACATTAAACTAGATTTCCCTAATTCTATCAGCTGTTTTACGATAGCTAGCGACATCTGTTATATAATTTCGTAACATGACTACATATAAGTTTTCCAACACGACGCGGCGACGGCCCAAAAGAAGAGTGTAAAATTTTTGCAAAAAATCATTATGGGTATCTTTGGAAAGGTCTAATGGCCTGCACAAACATAAGACTTTTGTCCGCGGACTTTTTTTTCCGCCAAAATCTTGCCAAAATATATCGCTGAATCACAGTGCTGAATGTATGAGACTTAAAAAGAGATGTGAGTTAGATTTGAGATTATAAAGAAAATGTCATAAGTCATCATTATTATTTAAAAAGTTAGCTTAAATTAGAATTGAAATAAAGAAAATACGGAAATTAAGCAAGTGAAGAATAACTTTCTATTTTCAAGCACAAGGTATTCATAGAAAATCGTACCTATGTTAAGATGTTCAAAAACTATAAAGATATCTGTGATGTTGTTTCCGTTTTGGTGTGTTGTCCAACCGAGAAAACATTTCTGCTCTCCAAAGAAACCAGTGGGGAGTTCTGGCTACCATGTAGTAAAACAGAAAAAAACTGCTGGAAGATGACAGCCCATAAGATCACATTCGAGGTAAAAGTCATTTAATCTCGATACAGGTAGTAGGGTTAAGCGGATTTTCCGCTCCAATTCAGTCAGTAAGGCCCCCTTTTAACGATCGTCGTTGTTATAATGGACGACGCCGACAACCGACGCGATGGGTGGGTGTGATCTCAGAATAATTATTGCGGCCTGCGCAGACCAGACAAAGAAATTTCGTCCGCGGACTTTTTTGTCCGCAAAATAGATCGCTTGTAACTGCATCGAGTAACGCACACGACTAGCGTTGCCGGCGCGTCCGGATAAAACCGGGCATAGTTAGGTTTTTTGATTGCGTAATCAGCCAAAATAAACGGTGTCCGGCGACTAGATCAATCACTGAGAATCTTTCTATAATACGAGCCTAAGTGCAGCAACACACAAAGAGAATTTTTGCCTGCGTTACGCGCTCGATCAAATTTAAAGAGATGGACCCAGTACTCTCTTACCTATTACTTGTTGTGGGCCCCCGTTTCCGCACGTAGACTCCATAGTTGGTGCAGGGTTGATTGGGATAGCTAGCACATCCAGCCCAGCCAGTGGCGGCGCTAGGCGTCGGCGACGTCGGCCACCGCCGACGGCCTCGCGCCTGAGGGGGCCTCGCAAATTACCTATTTATTTTCGTTTCTCCTGACCTGGCTTAGGTAGCCGACCCCGAACAATTCAGGGAAAAAGCTAAGCAGATGATAATGACTTTTATTATTTTCGAACACGTGCGTGATGGAAGCGAGTAGTACTTTACGGGTATTCAGAATCGTCTGTCTGACAACACTATTTTTGTAATTAAAGGACATTGCTCAGCGTCCATACATAGTTAGCCTAAAAACCAACAATCATGAAATATTATTTTCTAGGTTCAAAGTCGTAAGTAAATGACTGTAAAAACAAAGATTATTGACGGACACTGCTGAGAACTTAAATTATTAGGAAAACTAAAATTTTTTTGAGGTTATGTTTAATATTCAATGAAACATAGGTCAACCTATGAATTTAGTATGAACTCAGTATGAAGTGAATTAATATTACAACTAATTCATTTTATTCGGTGCTATTTTAAAGAATAACTATTAGGAAAAACTTGGTTAGGTAGGAATCATGAATAAAATAAAAACTGTAGTTTTGCTTCTTATTTAATGACTATTTTTCACTTAATTGTATCATATTGTTTATTGCATTTATTTGTATATCACATTATATTGTGTAAATATGCAGCGTGAATGTGTATCAGGTGTTCTTGAATAATTTGGCTATTATTATTGATTAGATCCTCTCAGGATGTGGCACAGGTTCACTAGCACTTGGTAATAAGGGCTCTGCTCTTTGGTAATATCGATGGCATATTAGATAGCCGATATAGTTAAATTAAAGGAAAAACAATCGCAAATAAACACACACAACAGGTAATCCGAAATGAGAATGCACTTTCCGGTATATTATATACTACTCTTTGGAATGCACGAATGCCACAGATTACTACAAATGAAAACTGCATGCACCACAACCACAGAGTAAAGAATTTTATGCCGGCCCTTCTCTTGACAACAGTTTGTCCTTGTCATGCTTAGTAAGGAATGAAAAGGACAGACTGATGTCATGTTTTAAAATAGGAAATACGAATAACCAAGTGAAGTGCCGACATTAGGAAGAAAAAGTGTTTTTCTTCCAGTTTGCAGCGCTGCCATAGATTATACACATAAAATGGTATTTATTGTCTCAGATTATTTTTTAACTTTTTAATTTAGCTTACTTAACTGGAAGTGTCCGTCACAATCTAAATACTGATAATTATCGCAAAAAATATACTAAGAATTATCATAAATGCCAAATTGGTGTTGGTTCTTAGGCCAATTTTAACATTGTCCTTTCTATGTTTGTAATTATTTTTTGTCATCATTTGATTATCAACAATAAAACTCGTTTACTCACACGTTATTTTATAATTTGGCTCACTTAATTTAACGGTTTTAAACTGCGAATTAAAATAGGCCTCGCGAATTGATGTCGCCGACGTCCACATGTGGTCTAGCGCCGCCACTGAGCCCAGCTCCTTCCAGAAGCGCAGTAGTCTCCTGGGACTCTCACAGGCTACTAGGAACGTCCTCGACGTCCCGAGGATTGATTGAACACCGGACGGTGTTCTGCCACGCTCATGCATTTCCGGATCACAAGAGCGGCCGTTTTATCTGCTACTAGACATCATCTGCACAGAGAACTATCTGTAACACATATTCGCTTAAAACGTCTTCTCTTTTTCTTAAACTTCATGTCAATTAGATAGAATACAACATAATCTCAGAATATAAGCTTCCATAGCGTGTTCTTCTCTAAATTTCCGAGCAATAAATGTCCGCATACCGTGTGCTTTGATCGAGTCCGTTACAAGTTCTCGGCGGACATTTTTTTAACGATTCAGCCCAACTAACACTTAGGCGCTAAGACAAGAGTTATAGTAAATCTATTAAAGAGCTAACCAGATCCTAAAGTTATAAATAAGTCTTACCCATTAGAGTTAGAGCGCGCTATATCTCTACTGTACCCCCGAAATGGGCACACTTTTTTTATCACCTTAGGTTGTTTAATTGCGGTAAATAAGAGTTACAGAATAGGTTAAGAGATATAATAAAGCAATAAGAGAACTATAATAGCGATAACTGAAACTACAAGGGACTGATAAACTCCCTTAGTGGTACAATAGAATAAAATATCGTTTATTAACCCTTTGGGTGCTAAAAGGGCTGCAAATAGGTGAATACTAACTCCCTAAGTGGTATGGTAGAACTAAAATGTCGCTCACTATATTTTTAAGTGATAAGAGAGTGGCAAGTCGGTGATTATTACCGCTTTGAACTCTAATATAGACGCACAAAAGCTATAAAAAGGACTTCAGGTGCTAACCTTTTTAACTTGTAAGACTATTTTTTTATTTCGTCAACATAATTTAACCTCTCGTTTTTATGTGCGAACAGTGCGTATGTTAGTATTTGTCGCATCCAAAACGCCACCATTCGTTTGTGAAAATGAAATTAAAAGTATAATCTTTTAGTTTCAACCTAGTGGACACAGAAGTTGACTTTTTACTGCGAAGGAAAGTACACTGTGAATAAGTATATGTATTATTAACAAATTATTCAAGCGCCCGATGTCTGTTGTCTATTTACTGAAAAGAAATATTTTATTAGATATGGAGTAACATAAAACTTTTGTAATAATCTAATAAAACGTTGCCTATTCTAGTTTAAGGTATTGTGCTAGTAGTGTTAGAACACAATGAAGCAAAATACTTCAATTAAACCGTGTTTTCTTATGTTTTTCTAACCTTTTTTTAGTTGCGTCGCCATTGCATTACTATCAACAACAAAGTAAACGAATGAGGGGTACAGAAGTGGTATTAAGCTCTATTACTCTACCTTAAGTTATACAGAAGTCACAATAACCACTAGAAGTTCTATCATAGCGAAGAATGTTTCTGCTGTTCGACTTTTAGTAACTTAAGAGCATTTTGTACCTCTTTAGGCATTTGGTGGTACAAAAGAATTTATGAGCACCATTGTGGAACTGGTAGTGGTAATTATTGCTTTTGTGCAACTTTTGGTTCTTGGCGAGAGTTTATTATCGCTTGCATAGCACTTTGGGGGGTTGTAGTCAATGTTCACTTCTTATTTAGATCTTATAGTTGTAAGATTCACTTAAAGCTATAACACAAGATGCTTTGCCCATATTGTAGAGTTAAAAAATGCTGCTGTATGTCTTTAACCTTTAAACTCACCCTGTTATCAACCTTGTAATTCTGTGGTATAGCTCTACGTGAAATATTTTGCTTGTTTACGCTCTTTTGTCGCCAAAAGTTGTAAGTGCTGCTGCTGTAGCGCCTTTATATCTCGGTCAGTTCTAAAACAAGCTCTAATTGACGCCTAAATGTTTATTGGGAGGGGTTTTGTCTTCCGCGGGCAAAAGTCTCGTCTGCGCAGGTCATTATGTTCAGGGTGCAATATATTTGTCCTTCTTATCGATGTGTTGCTGGCTAGACAAAGACAAACATAACGCACCGGCCCGGTGTCCGGTGAAACTACAACCAATCCGTTAACAAGAAGCGTAGCCAAACAGCAGTAGCGTGTGATTTGAAATTCCGTATTGAAAATTCTTACACAGAATAGCACTGCAGTCAGAAAACAGTAAGCAACACAGATTCTTTAACATTCTTGCAGTGAGTAGCGTATTACAGATTCTCAAGATGCTACCTCACTGGGATCTCTTTCGCCAGTGGATCCAGATTCGTCCAGATTCCGTACATCCCCGGTACCCTACCTCGTCTTTAGTGCTCTTAAAGTGTGCGCCTCGCGTTTGTACCGCCTACCTACACCTACAACACCACCAGTGTTGTATTTCTGTCCATGTGTCATGTTCCCGGGGTTCCACATGGCTTAGGAAAAAGAATGGGAACCGATACGAGTTATCGAGGAACAGTTTCATTTTAAGAACCATAGGGAGAATATAATCAAATTATAAGTAGATTGGTGTCAATTCTGACACTATTCTCTAAACCTAAACTTAAATTTGACAACAGTGTATCCTTGTCATTCTCTATACGGAATGAAAAGGAGAGATTGATGTTAATTTTAGTTTTAAGTTTAGAGAATCACGCCAGAATTGACACCTTTATTACGTAATAATTTGAGCATTCAGTTGCTAGATGTTTAAATCAAACAGAGTTATGTATTTTTTTTATAAGTGGTATGTGTTTTCAGTTGTTTGGTGTGGACACTGGCTCCCAATGCGTACCGCTGAGAGTCTACAAGATCTGGTTACCCAACCATCCACAGGGTTGCGTTTATCACGCGATCTACAAAACCGTAATTAAACACGAAACTAAAAAAAGGATTAAGATTAAGGTACTTATCTACCTACATAAAAAGACGTTAGTGTACTGAGTGGTTATCAACAGTTTAGAGTTAACAATATCTTCTCCCTCGTTCCTTCTCGTTATCAAAATTTTGGAGTTGCCATAATATGTTGGAATGATTCTCAAGCTTTGCTAACGTGAATATACACGACAGCTGATTCAAAACTGTTTATCTTTTCATAAAATTCAGGGTAACCGTTCGAAAAACATTTATTTAATTTACTTACTACAATTTCTGTTGTGTGATATTGCACCTCCATTTCTGCGTAAAACGGATAAAAAAGTGTAGTGCGGAAAATCCGCTATCTTTTAGTATTTAATGAACGGCCTAGGCGTCCAATTGATGGTTGGTTACTCACATAACGTCTAGAGCTACCTCTCTACTCGTTCTATCTGCGGACCGACTCGGCGCCTCCGATTCCTCCAACACAGGCCACAAACACCAACACTACACAGCTAGCAAACTAGCACACTAGCTTAGCATTAGGCAAACACCGCATCCGTAGGATAAGAGTGCGAGGACTCGGTCTACACACGACACGCTATACCAGGTACAGGTAAGTACCTGGGCTCCGCCCCCGGCGACAACGGCTAACTAGAGCTGAAGTCCGAGTCTCAGAGAGGCCCTCTTGTTGGGCCGACCCCCTCAGGCTCGAGTGATCTACAGGCTCCAGGCGGAGAGGAGACTCCCCCGCGTGGGGAGATGTCATCCGCCTGGAATACCTCTAGAAGCACTCGATAATTGTCGGCTTGAGATCCCGTTAGGCTCTCGCCGTCTCCAAATCCGGTGATGCTGTAAAGGTCATCTGCGACCAACAGCATACACACTCATAAAAAATACTGACGCGGCTTGGCTGATGAAGTGAGGAGAAGGTTTGTTTTAAAATATTTTTTTGGAAAACCCACCAGATCTGTTTCACACTTAGATTAAAAAAGAGTTTACATAACAGCTGATTCAAAACTGTTTATCTTTTCATAAAATTCAGGGTAACCGTTCGAATAACATTTATTTAATTTACTTACTACAATTTCTGTTGTGTGATATTGCACCTCCATTTCTGCGTAAAACGGATAAAAAAGAGATCAATGAAATCATACGTATTAAGTTTACCTATCCAAACCCAGGGTATTCGCAACCGCGTGCAGTGGTTAAATTCGGCGGAGCTGGAACGGCAACGCGCTCACTCCATGCTGCGGAGCCCTGAAGTAGCCAACTTTGTGCAGATGGCCACTGCCGAACTCACTAAAGAGACCGAGTCGGTACGTTAATTATTTTTGCATGTAACGGTACGTACGTAAGTTACGGTCGTGGTTGCTTTTCCAAGCACGGCAACATGCCGAGACTGCACAATGCATAGAGCCATGCCTCAGTTACTCAGTCTACGCCGCGGTCACTACCTAAGAGTAGAGTGTATACAGGTTTAGGTAGTTAGGGCTGCAGGCCGCAGAGTCGCCGCGTTTGTAATCTACATCATAGAGATTCAAAGAAACAAGTGGTGTCATTGCAGTTTGCGTTCTGCAGTCCGTCTCGGGATGGCACCTTAAGCGGGCGGCAAACAAGCATAATTTTAGCCGACTATTGGTAAGTGATGAGGAGCTCGATGGCGCGTTCGGCTGCGATCGTTGAAGTTAAGCAACTGTCGCAGTAGGCGGTGATTGGATGGGTGACCAAAAATTTACTATCTCGAGCTGCTCCGTGCTTCGGAAGGCACATTAAGCCGTTGGTCCCGGCTGCATCTGCAGCCGTTAGCACCCACCAATCTGCACTCGGCCCGCGTGGTGGGTCATGGTCCAATCTCCCTATTCCATCCATAGCGAAGGCCTGTGCCCCAGCAGTGGGGACATTAATAGACTGATGATGATGATGATGGTAAGCGGCCACCATAGCTTTAAACGCCAGCGATACTTGTAGACTGCCCTGTTTTCTCCTACAGTCGAGGGTTACGTTGTGAAACTCTAGCAACTTGCGAGAACACAATGACTGCGTTCATTTTGTTCAGCTGCACTACTGTGGTTTGCTGGGGTGTATTTTAAAATCTACCGCCACGCACGAAAACGAAAATGCTACAGACACCGGTTACATGAATCGAATATCACAGTGCCTCATACAAAGTTATCATATTTTTTCCAGGATATGGATAATGGAACGGTTATAGAAATTTGCGAAGAGAATGTCGTTGTAGGAATGGAAGGCAGTGGTGCGGTCTCGCTTACTTTGCCAAACTGTCAGTTGTTGCAAGCAGCCAATTATACAAAGGAAGGTATTTCATCTTCATAAATCTGGACATTGAAAGTACCCACAACGTAATTTTGGTAAATTAGAGAGAATCTTACAAATCTAATGTAGCTATGTAGGTAGGTCTACTTCGACCACCATGGAACAGTTGTTACATGTTAGGTAGTTCAAAACTACGACAACTAAGAGAGACTATACGACTATTCACTTTGGCGTGAGACAAAATGTAAACAAAGAAATTGAGGTTCTAAAACTTTTATGATGTCAGAAAGTACCTACTACTTAATGATTACGTATAATTTATGTTACCCATAATTTATTAACAACTTTAAACTTAACAGAAAAAAAATAACAACGAACTCAACAAATAATTCAAGGAAATAACAAGCATTTAACAAATATGATAGAATATGCACGCTTGCGTCAACAGGTTGATCGGGAGAGCAAAGGTCTTCGGAGCAAAGGAGCACTTCATCGTAAAATACTTATATCATGTCTACTCTTGAATTTTGTCGTATTATATATAATACGTCTTAAGTTTGGGAATGATTGTATTTTTAGGTCTTTTTCCTTGTCAACTTAAGTTGTTAAAATACTTTTATCAGCAAAATAAAAATATACGAATTTATGATGAGTATATACGTTAAATATGTGTGAAATATTTTATGTTCTTATTCATATGTATGTACCAGCTTTTAAAATAATTAACTTAATGTCTCCCTGCATTTCCTATGTAAATAGTATTTAATCTTTACTTTTGTCAAACGTGACCCTAAGAGATATTTATTATGGTTATGTTCAGTCATTGTGACAGTTTCTTAACTTCTCCGATCGCTTTAAACACCGCGCTCTGGTGCTACTCGGAAAAAACACACCTCTTAAAATTACTGTTAAAGTCTTGTATGTTCATTGTCTAAATGTCTCACATTGTAGTGAGGAGTCAGTGCTCTACGACATTGTTTTTAGATTAACTTTGCCGTAAAGAAAAACGGTCACGCCCCATAGAAAAAGCAACCCAGACACGACAGAAACGAGACATATCTAAGTTGTTTTGTTATTTTTTAAATAGTCAAATTATATATTTCTTATATTTGAAATTTAATGGCTAACTTCAAAATATTAGCTTGTTTTTGTTCAATTTTTACAAAAAAAAAATACAAAATGCCTATTTATTTACAAAAATTCGTAAACGATCGATTTCGAATACAAAACAAAATATAGATTATATAAAAAATAATAAAAATACTTAGATATGTCTCGTTTCTGTCGAGCAATAGGTCACTAATGACCGTTCTTCTTTAATTTAAGCGTTTCTTCTTATCAGCTATAATACCTATATCCAAAAAATTCTCGATTTTATTGTTTTTCCTTTTTTTATATTTTTATTGACAGACCAAATACGCATGTACCGAGAATTTATCGTAATGGTGTTCCCGGCGTTATACATGAGCCCTCACGTGTTCTCCCAGTTCATGATGGACCTCGGATGGCAGAGGTCACAATGTACAAGCCTGTTCAGGTAGTCATTTCTTCTCCATATTCGACTGGTATTAGTTGCGTCTAAAATGTTCAGAAATAATAGTAGATAAACAGGTTGCCAGCCCCTTGTCTCGGTAGTTTCTATAGACATTTAGTATTTTTATGGTTGTGATATATAAATAATTTTCTTTGTTAATGTAACGCTACCAGAGCGGCAGACGTGACGGGGCGTGGAGGTCTCTCGTTTGCAGAACTCGTATTGTGGATGGCGGCATTAGAGCCAGCAACACAACATTCTGGTGTGCCAGCTGAAATTCGGTGCCGTTATATATTCAGGTAAAATTATATCAATCCGGTACCATACCATTAGGAAGAAGAAGAAGGAAGGAAACGAGAACAAAAGTATAAATTATAAAATGGTATTAAAATACATATGGATACAATAGAATACACAAACTGAGTAACATAAATAATTAAAGCTTATTCGATTGATAACAATTAAAAAATCTATTAATATTAAGGCCGCAAGTGGTACCCACGCGCCCACACAGTGAGAGCCGCGCACGGAGTGTACAGTACCCTTAGCACGAACCAATATCGAATTCGTATCGTTTGCGAGTAAGAAATGTCATTGTCAAATGTGTACTGATTTTTAGTTCTCTTTACGTACAATATGGCGCTAATTTTCAAGTTTTCTTGGTTTTCACACAAAATTTGACATTGACATTTCGGACTCGCAAACTATTCGAATTCGATATTGGTTCGTGCTGGGATACTGAACGCAACCATTAACTATTACTTCACAGATTTCAGTGCATATGGCCAGGATCAGGGCGCGCCTGATGTCAAGCAAGGATAATGGTAAAGCACAGACCTTCCCTATGGATAGACGCGGCCCGTGTACGCATTGGTGGGTGCTGATATAACTGCAAATGCAACCGGGACTAATGGCTTCTTAGCGTAGCTTCCAGACCGAATGCGCTAACCAAGCTCGAGCTCTTCAATTGAATTATGTTTAAAGTTATGATATAAATAAAATCATTGAGTCACACTCAGAGTCAAATAAACACTGATTCTTCGTCAGATATTTCGACAGCAACCGGGACCTGAAGCTAGAATATGTGGAGTTCAAGGAGCTGGTGGCAGCGACCCGGGCTGCCAGGCAGCTGCCAGTGGACGCTCTGAGCGTCGCCAGAGATGCTGACGTCTGCCTCAGGTTGTGTTGCCTTCCAATTCAATATCTTACATAATAAAGAGACAAGAAATGGTTGTTTTAATGAGAAATCACTTTATGCCTGCTCTGCATATAACAACGTCGAACTGTAATATCTCAAAAAGATTTGACTGGACTTTGTTTTGTACTGTATCAATTCGGCTTCGCATTTCTGTACTGGCTCTCTAGCGAGGGTAACTTCAAGATGGATAGTTCCTTTGTGGAATAAAGTTCCATTTTCACATAGGTATTTTGACGTTTCATTTTGCGCTCCTTCTCAATGCATGATGATTAAAAACCGAAAATTATTAGAAGTAGTTGCCATAGATTTGAGTTATCAATAGCTCTGGACTCAGGTGCACCATGCAGTACATTATAGCTTGTTGGATTATTGTCAGATGGATGAGCGTACTCATATTTATTTCTACAGACAGTTGGGTATGCAACCAAACACTCAACTACCTCTGGCTGAGTTTCTAAGAGGGGTGGGAGAATTAAGATTACGCGGCACAAGTTCCTTACTCCGCTCTCCGAAAAGCATCGCTTTATATCTCCAGGATTTGCAGTAAGTAGTCAACAGCATGAAACTTAGATGAAAAGATGAAATGAATGTTTTTTCCATAAAAAATTTCACGATTGTTGTTTTAGGGAACGGGATCGCGAGCTAATTAGACAAAATGCGAATACAGCAAAGGTGAACGCTCAAACGAGTAAGTTTTTATTATAATGTTTTGCGATGATAACTGTAGAAAAAAAAATAGTCTGCGTTTAATCGGCTTTTGGATACATTTTGAATAATTTACCCTACTCGGTCACATCATGTTCAAAGTCCATTTAGCTGAATTGTTGTGCTAATGCTGGTTATGCTGCTGAAGTGTGGGTCTGATGTTAATCTGCCAGCCTAGCTCCGCTAGGAACACTACTAATTGTTATTATTATATTAATACCCTTTGTTATTACTTTAACATACTAGTACCTCTAACACATGTATAGGCACTTCTTCGGCGAATACTAGGGTCGGCACAGTTACGTCAAGCGCCGGCGCCGGCGCAAGTGGTATAGCTGCGATGGCGCGCCGTACCGACTACACCCTAGCAGTCTACACAGTTCGCCTGCACAAGCGGACACCCAATGAGTTCTTAGAGCTCTCACATTATGATGGTATACCAAAACCGATTATTGAATACAAAAAATCGTCCACAAAGGATCGACTCAGTAAGTGCAGATTCATTATGCCGATACAAATTGCACGAGATTTCTATTTACCTCATACCAGCGCAGCGGACGTCCTGGCGGCGTGTCTGCCCACATGTCTCACGAAGCATCAGTAATACTGGAGTTGCGAATGAGTTGACGCGTGCTTGCAATTAATTTTTGCACGTTCGTTACTCTCACACGCCGAAATGGCTAATATTTTGAGTACTATAGAAACATTTTAATTCTTTGAGTAGTATTCAAGCAGAAAACTACTTGTGGAATCCGAAAAATACCCAGCAGCCACCACCTTCTTCTTTTCTATTTATTTTTGATAATGCTACTGCGTTGCACCTCAAGTTTCTACTAATTCAATAATTCTACTGCGTTTTCATCCGTGCGGTGACGGAGAAAGAATACAACTCACCGCCCCTTCTCTTCCCGTGGGTGTCGTAAAAGGCGACTAAGGGATATCGGAGCTTCCATCCGCTCCTCTGGTGGTAGGGTGCCTAACACCCGCCTGGTTTGCTACCACCGTGCGCATGGTGAAAAACCCGTGAAGTGCTTCTCGCACGTTTCGGGGTCAGCCAGCGTACAACCAGGGCTCGAGTGGAGGTTGTCGCGACGGATTCGGTCCAGGGCGAGGCATCCGTCGAACCGATGCCGGGAGGACTGCATCGACCCGCCGGCCAGGGAGACCCGTAGAAACGGCTGTCCCGCTGGCCGCCCGTGGCACAGTACAGGGGCCCGAGCGTTCCTAACCAGTTTGCGAGGCTGCCCTATCATGTCACGCATAATCTCGGGGTGGACCGTCGTGCCGGTTGGTGACCGGGGCGTGGGGTCCCGGCGGCCACTTCCGGGAGGGTGCGGGGGCCCTTCCGTCCGGCGGGTCGGCGTATATCCTCTGCAGGCAATCATTCGGGGAAACATGCCTTCCTAATTTGCCCGGTCTTGTCGCGACAAAGTCTACTCGTTTCACGTCTCTTTTTTACTTCCATAATGGCAGCTCTTAAAACAAAGTTTGGACGTTCAGCGGTGCACACCCCCACGCCTTCAACGCTGTTTGAGGTCGAGTTCTGCAACATACGCGGACTCCACTCTAACCTCAATGCTGTCCACCACCACCTTGAGACAGCACGGCCAGCATTGTTGTTCCTGACGGAGACACAAATACTTCCGCCTGCTGACACAGGCTACCTTAACTATCCCGGCTACGTGCTTGAAGAGTCCTTCAAAGCGAAAGCCGGTGTATGCCTGTATGTTCGGGCGGATGTTTGTTGTCGCCGTCTCCGCTGCTTGGAAGATCCCACCTTCTCCATATTGGGGGTACACGTCGACTCAGGTCCCCAGGCCAGAGTCTACGTGTGCCTCTACAGATCCCATACTGGTGATGTTGAGACAACTCGACTTTTCGAACATCTTAGTCGGGCAGCAGATGACGCGCAGGAGCAATTTCCCAATGCAGAATTGGTGTTTTTGGGGGACTTTAATGCTCACCACAATTTGTGGTTAAGTTCCTCGAAAACTGACCATGCAGGGATCTCTGCTCACGCGTTCGCTCTCACGCATGACTTGGAGCAACTGGTTGATCAGCCCACCAGGATTCCAGATATTTCAAGTCAAGCGCCTTCATTGCTGGACCTTCTGCTCACGACCCATCCACAGGGCTATCAGGTTGTGGTAGGAGCCCTCCTGGGCTCTTCAGATCACTGCCTGATATCTGCCAAAGCGCCACAGGCTAAACCTCCGCGTCCAACGGTGGTAAAACGCCGGATCTGGCACTATGGGTCAGCAGATTGGGACGGTATGCGTGACTACTTTGCGTCCGTCCCTTGGAAGCAGCGCTGCTTCAATGACAAGGACCTATCGGCCAGCGCCGTTGCTATTACTGAGGAGATTGTAATGGGTATGGAATACTATATTCCTCATTCCAATCTCATCAGTAAAGGCACACGTAACCTCTGGTTCAATCACGACTGTGCTGAAGCTGCTTCGCGTAAGCAAGCGGCATATCGTGCTTGGATCAGAGGCCGCGCTCTTAAGGATCCCGGGGTCGATTCACTAAAAGCAGCCTACAATATTGCTTCCAAGGCCTGTAAGAAGGCATACATCAGAGCGGATGCCCAGCGCGTTGCACGTGTTGGTCACGAACTTATAACGCATCCTACGGGCTCCCGTAGCTATTGGCGTTTGGCCAAGGCCGTGCAAAAGAACTTCTGCCAGCCCTCGCTGCCACCTCTGAGATGTCCAGACGGAACACTAGCTCATAAGCCGCAGGAGAAAGCCGATTTACTGGCAAAACTCTTTGCGGCTAACTCCCGAATCGATGATTGCAATGCACTGCCACCATTATTACCTCATTGTGGCACAACGATGCCTGATATCAAAATCAGGCAGCGTGAGGTTCGTGCCGAATTGCAATCACTCGACGTCCGGCAAGCTAGTGGACCTGATGGCATCCCAGCAGTAGTATTGAAAAAATGTGCAGCGGAGTTGTCTCCCGTACTCACGCGTTTGTACCAGTGCTCGTATTCTTTGGGGCGTGTGCCGGAGACTTGGAGAAATGCTAACGTGCAACCGGTACCCAAAAAAGGGGATCGCTCAGACCCGGCAAACTACCGGCCAATAGCAGTCACCTCAGTATTATGTAAAGTCCTAGAAAAGGTCCTTAACAACCATCTGACCCGCTACCTAGAGGATCACTCCCTGATTAATGATCGTCAATATGGTTTTAGACTGAAACGATCGACGGGTGATCTTCTAGCGTACTTGACTCATATCTGGGGTGAGGCTATCGACAAGCGGGGCGAGTCGTTGGCTATCAGCCTAGACATTGCCAAGGCATTCGACAGGGTCTGGCACAAAAGCCTTCTCTCCAAGCTTCCGGCATACGGTCTGCCGGCCCAGTTCTGTTCTTGGGTAGCTGACTTCCTGCATGAGCGTAGAATTCGTGTCCTTACGGATGGTAGCAGTTCGCGGTTCATGTCAGTGAATGCCGGCGTTCCCCAGGGCTCCGTCCTATCCCCCACTCTCTTTCTGCTGCATATCAATGACCTAATTCCTCTTGGGAATATTCATTGCTATGCAGACGACAGTACAGTGCATGCGGGGTATCTCGGACAAGCAGCGGCTGGGCAGGCGGTAACCAAGGAGAAACGGGAGAATCTTGTCATTGAACTCAATCAGGCTTTGGACCACATTTCTGAATGGGGTACCAAGAACTTGGTTGAGTTCAATGCTAAGAAAACCCAGGTCTGCGCCTTCACGGCAAAAACGTCGCCATTCCTTTTATGTCTTTCTCTTCAGGGCACAACACTGGAGCTAGAGAGCAGTATCACCATGCTCGGTATGGAGATTCGCTGTGACTTAAATCCAAAAAATTACATCGAAAGTGTGATAAAAACAGCCTCACGCAAACTCGGAGTCCTGAACAAGGTGCGGTGTTTTTTCACGCCCGAGCAACTATGCTTGTTATATAAGACGCAGGTTCGGTTTTGCGTGGAATATTGCTCGCACCTCTGGGATGGCTCCGCCAAGTACTTGCTCGATGCTTTGGATAGGTTACAGCGGCGCGCAATACGCATCATAGGTGATGAGGAGGTGTCTAAACACCTCGAGCCTCTTCAATTACGCCGTGACGTGGCGTCACTAAGCGCGTTCTATCGTCTGTACCACGGCGAGTGTTCTGAGGAGTTATTCTCTCTTATTCCACCTTCCCCTTTCCTTCAGAGGACCACGCGCGCTGGCTTACGTTGTCACCGTCTAACTGTGGCTACAATTCCAACGCGTACAAAGAAATTTGGTGACTCATTTCTTTGTCGTACTATCCGTAAATGGAATGCTCTGCCCGCTCACGTGTTCCCTCCCTCTTACAACCTGGGATCCTTTAAAAGAGGCGTGAAGAAGCAACATGCAGGCCGGCAGGGTGAGGATGGCTGGTGTGGCAGGTAGAACTGCTGTATCAGCTATCTTCGCGTCTGGACTTCACCTCCACTTAACATCAGGTGGGGTGGAGTCATTTGTCAGACCTATCTATAAAAAAAAAAAAAAGTATTAGTTAAAGAAGTAAATAAATAAATTATTGCGGCAACTACGATCTCAACATTTATTTTTTTAATGTTGTGTACGTACGGGTTACGTCTGTTGAGAATGAGACTGTTTGACCTACAGACGTCGTCAGACGTGTGGTCGCTCGGCTCGTTGTGATCCATCTGCTGATGCATCTGTCAGCGTCTGCGGACGCATCCGTCGCTGGCGACGTGTAGAGGAGGCATTACGCTGATGATGATGATTGTTAATTGTAATGTATACTAACCTATAGGTTATTTTATGGCGCGATTACATTTGGTCCTTAGCCCGAATACGAGTGCCAATGGAATTCGGGTAAACGACTAAGTATAAATGATCGGAGTCGAGCACGCCCGTATTCGGGTAGTTTTCGTTTTTGTTACCCGAGGTACCGTCTTCCAGTGTACATATTGCTTCGGGTGCCCGAATTCGAGTAATGTCTTTTGTGTACCCGGATACGGGCTAACGACTAAGTATAATTGAGCCATTAGACGATAAAGATCATCATAGTTAACCAGTCACAAGCAAACATAGGTTCAATATATAAAACGGTAGAAAGTGATATTATAAAACTCATAAGATAATCATTTACCGTGCTCAGATGCATCAGTAAGCACGTCCTCGAGTCGGCTGTTGAGCAGTGCTGTAGCCTCGCTGGAGGCGCTGGGATCGTCTTCCCTGCCAGTGGAGGCGCTGGCTTCTGTGCACTATTTCGCTGCGCCGATGGAATTCACCAGTGCTGTGAGGATTTTTCTAAATCTGACACCAGAATTAGTAGGAAATAACTTTATTTTTTGTTTACGTACTACGATCCTACGACGACGACGGGGAGGTCAATAAGTTCGCGGAATGGAGGGGTTGGTTGGATTTACTCGTCCAGGTAGACACTAGTTGAGCATCTCATTAAGTGTATATATACCAAGTTTGAACCTGATCGGGTCATTAACTTTTGAGTTATCGACCTGCAAACAACTTAATCGGAAAGAAGTCAGCCAGTATGGAGAAAATGGAACACCGCGTCGTTATTAAGTTCCTTAGGGTTAAGGGAGAATATATTAAAAAGGAAAAATAGTTTGGTGTTTAATTTCAACCCCCTTCCCTCTTATTCCGCGAACTTTTTGACCTCCCCTCGTATGTCTACCAACAGGAGCTACAGTTTGTGATTTCCTGAGCCATAAGTGGAGTCTACAAGAGTAGCCAATAGGAGTAGTTTATCAGAAAAAGGCTCATTTAATTTTTGTTAAACACGTTATTGCACTTTCTGGAAAAGCTTGATACAGGTGCGAGGTATTAGTTTACCACAACTTAATCAAAACTCAGCCGGAGCGAAACCATACCAGATATATGGGTGCATTACCCAGGTAATGTAAGGTTAAATTGGTAGTCAGGTTTTCTTCTAGGCACGTGGGTGGGGCAGGAATACGCTGTTGACTGTCAAGTCGGCTTGGTCGTGGAGCAACGCTACGGAGGAGTCGGCGATGGGCTCCCTCTTATTGAAGCTCGCTGAAGCCGTGAGACCCATCTGCGCAGCTGAGCCCAGGCTGTTGCGTCTGGCCTCCCCGGTCTACGCTATCGGTGAGATTAAGTCCAAGGCACCTACAGATTCGCAATCGTATCGCAGTCAAAGTTTCTATGTTTGTATGGAAGTATAATTTTGATGCATTTTAAATTTAACTTTTAGTTGTATTATTATTTGACAATTGGACTGTCCTCGCTTCGGCTCGGTTATAGCTGTAGTGTAGGTAGACTATTGTTTTTGTTCTCAGGCTTGTATTATACAGTGTTTTTATTTATATAATTAGGTATTAAACTTTCATGCAAATTTATTTAACTGATAGTGAAAATTTTGTTGCGTACTTTAGGACCCCTTTGTACAGAATGCAGCATTTTTTTGGTTGAACGCGCAAATCTCAGGCACTAATGGTCGGATTTGAAAAAATATTTTATAGTTAAAATATATAGAAAATACCTACGATAGCAATATTTTTCTATTTTGTATACAAAATTTGACTGACGATACGAATACTGATCTGCCAAAGTTCGTGCTTGGGCAGAGGCCCACAGAGGAGAACCGTTTACTGGATAAGTTCAGAGGAACTTATCCAATTAACGGTTAACCTTTCGAAACAAGCAATGACTTCATATACATAAATCTGTATATTTATAATTTGGTTATCTACAAGCAATTAGATATTTCTTGCACCTATTCTTATAAATTCATACACCTAATTTGATCTCTCTGTGGGTGACTTTTAGCGCACTACGGAATATCTATCTGATTACTGCGCTCTTGTCAATCTAAATGTGGACTTAATAAAATTTTCTTTAAATCGACAGGTCGTTTATAGGGTTTCTCTTCATGCAGACTTTTGGCTAAGCACTATTAGGGTTAATAACATACTTACTTTACAACGGCATATTAGGTAGGTTTAGTCAGGAGCTCAAATTTGATTCTGGCAGGAGATTTACATGGCAACTTGGGAGCTTTGCTGACAATGGAATCAGCGTTATGGCCGTCGGGCACTGCGCTTGGGCCCGCCCGCTTCCTATTCCTTGGCGATTTTGTGGACCGTGGTCCGCACGGCGCGGAACTGATGGCTTATCTGCTGGCCGCCAAGCTGCAGAGGCCCAACGCTGTGCTAATGGTGCGCGGAAACCACGAAACCAGGGATATCCAGAAAATGTTCACGTTTTACAAGTAAACATTTTGCCTACATACTTACCGAAATAGTTGATATTTATTTCCAAAATCCATTTCGATAAAACTTAAAAAAACTGAGGGTAAAGCATCCTGGTAATGGTAGGGGAGATGGGGTAAAAAAAAGAACTGTTTGCGTTTGCTTATGCAAATATTAATTTTACTTATAATTTTATTCAGCGAATGCGTAGCCAAATATGGTGAGACTGACGGCCCCAAAGTGTGGAACGCAATCAACAATGTGTTTGACGCTCTACCATTAGCAGCCGTTGTGGATGATAAGGTGAAATATTAAATAAGAGATTTTTATATAATCATTTTTGTCGTCTTCGATCCTAATAGTTAGCTAGTCTTGAAGCGAATATTAACAGGCCGGTGGAGTTAGAGCTGCATCTAGCCACCCTTAGGTACCTCATCGTCATCAACCTTTTAATGTCTCCACTGCTGGGGCACAGGCCTTCCCTATGGACGGAATAGGGAGATTGGGCCGTAACCCACCACGCGGGCCCTTACCTAGCCGGTTCTATCTATGCTCCCGTGGAGTACTGGTGACATTACAACAAAATCTCTGCTGCCGTCTCAAAGATAAAATTTACTTGCATAGACAAGTGCTCCTATTGAGAGGAAACCTTTCTTAAAATCATTTATGTATTCTCTGCTTGCCTCATTCAGGGAACGGGATATTCGCATGAAGATTTGTGTAGTAGGTATATCATGATATTGTTGTACTGGCTTGAACAACTTCACACACCTGCCTTCTAGGTGTTCTGTTGCCATGGTGGCATACCACCGCCCTGGGTGTGTCCACTCATCACTGCGATTGACAAAGTCCCAGTGCCGCTGACGAGACCGGCCGAGCAGAGCTCTATTGCGTGGGAGCTTCTGTGGAATGACCCCGTCAAGTAGGTAGTAAAATATTTACCCTTAGCACGAACCAATATCGAATTCGAATAGTTAGCGAGTGCGAAATGCCATTGTCAAATTTTGTATGAAAACTTGAACAGCAGCGTCATAACGGACGTAACGAGAACTAAAAATCAGTACACATTTGATAATCACATTTCGCACTCGACACTATTCGAATTCGATATTGGTTCGTGCTAAGGAGATTTGTCAATTTTTGTATTGAGTTTATAATGGAACTTATCCATTTGCTATGCTCTTACCTTGGTATTTTATATAAACAGAAGTCAAAGGTAGAAGAGTTCATGAGCCAGTATTCAGGTCACTTCGATGGCAGTCAGATAATCGACCTTACAGTTTGTCGAAAAAAGAGTTCATATACAGTGATTTCCCAACCTATCAATTGATAGGGCAACGACAGGGAGAACCTGTGTAATTGGTTACGAGAATTCTGTTTTGTGCAGACGAGGAGGCCCTTGTCCAGGGCCTGCTTACAATCGAAAAGTTGGTTGGTAAAAGGAAAGTGGGATATTAAATGGTCTTCCTTTTCTACAGGTGCACAATAAGTCTTGCAATATTGGCCAGCTCTTGTATAGAAAAAGCTAAATTAGTTTAGTATTCTGTTTAAAAAAACGGCTTTCAGACCTAACAAGCTGACGGCGACTTTGGCGCTGGAACTGGCTTCAAACGAGGGGTTTGCAGCGAACACGAAGCGCGGCACCGGCCACGTGTTCGACCAGTCTGCCCTTGATCGCTTCTTGGCTGCTAACCAGCTGTCACACGTGGTGCGCGCTCACGAGCTTCACCAAAGTGGATTTTTGGTGAGAACTTTCACCATTTGCTGGTCACGTTCTTTATTTTCATTTTCATCATTTTCGTCACGTGTAGAATCAGATCGCGCTCCACCGCTTCCTGGCTGTTAACCAGTCGTCCCACGTGGTTCACTCGCACGAGCTTTTCCAAAATGAGTTTATGGTGAGAATTACTACTATGTTCCTTGTTTCATCATCTGCGCCTCGTTTACAATCAGACGAGGTGAGGACTCATCGTTTGCCTGCCATATTCCTAGTTTAAGTTCTCCGTCTTCGTGACGTGTCCGACCTGGCCGCCCTTGATCGCTTCTGTCCCCCACCAACTGTCCCACGTGGCGCGCACTCGAGCTTCGCCAGAACGGTTTTATGGTGACAACTTCCCTATCTGTCCATTCACAATTTATGGCTAATAACAAAAATTGTATATTTGGATTTAGTCTTAGTGGGGACATATTGTAAGCCAACTCTGCAGTCTACTTGCAACTTGCAAATTCTAATAAAACAACAAGACAAAACAAGTTATGGAAACTGCATCTAAATTCGTACTTGAGAAGCTCAACAACAGATGTATACTTTATTTCATTGTTCCAAACTTCTCATCTCCATTAGTTCAGAATCATTACTTCTTTCTTTGCAATACTTATCATCATTTATAAGTTTATTGTCTATCTATCCACTGTTAAGTACCTACCCTTAGCACGAACTAATATCGAATTCGTTACCTTTACGAGTCGGACCTTCCCTGTCAAATTTTGTATGGAAACTTGAATAGCACAACGGACGTGACGAAAACTCAAAATCAGTACACATTTGACGTTTCTCTAGATCGAATTTGGTAATGGTTCGTGCTAAGGGTACTGAAATGATGCAAGGTCTCTCGGTTATATGCACCGAACAAATACAAAAAGAATAGGCATATGACAATATTCGGTACTACGAGTATGTATAGGTCTAGTGTATGGTGTTTCGCGGCGTAGTAATAAGTGATATACAATAAAGTTCAAGCTCACAAGGTTTTCTCCAAGGAGTTGTTGATAGTTCAATGTACAAGGTCTCAGCAGTACCGGCTATTTTCACGTTTGGACCCCATGCAACAACACAGCATTATGGCTCGATTACACTTGGTCGTTAGCTCGAATTCTGGTGCACGAAAGACATTACTCGAATTCGTGCACCAGAAGCAATATTTACACTGGCATACGGGCTGGAAGACGGTGTCGGGTAACCAAAACAAAAACTATCCGAACTCGGGCGTACTCGACTTTGTTCATTTACACTCGTGTACCCGAATTCGATAGCCAATGGAATTCGAGTTAACGTCCAAATTGAGCCATAAGATGGGAAGGTTTCATTCATAAGGTCTTAGAAAACAGTACCTCACAGCAATAACAGTAGTTCGAGCGAGCATTACGAATATAGCTCTTTTTAGAAAAGCAATCGAATAGAAAATATCGGAATTGAGTAGTTTCCTGCCTTTCGGTATGAAAAATGTGTTCAGTTACTCTTTTCCTAATCTTGATAATTTCGAGTTAAACTTTATGTTCCGCATTGCCAGTCATGACGTCATTAACGTGAACGGTACGGTAATGTGGCACGATGCGTTGACACAACGTGCAAATTTACGATCAGGTTTGCGCAGCACCGTGCCGCTTTAGGTCTTGTTTTGACGACACGCACACGCTACGCGTAAGCCCCGCGCGTCAGCACGTGCGTCTAACACGCTTCGAAATTGATCGTATAGAATTTGAGTCTTATGACACTTCAATAAAGTTCTGCTTCCGTTTATCAAAGTCCATCCGCGCACGCCACGCATACGCAGATATATCCGCGCGATAAACACAATTTGAGATTTATTGATTTGTCTTAAGACTCAATTTTATGCAACCAATGCATATGCCTTGCACCCGCGCTTTAGCTAGAGCGGGAGGTACGCTTGGATGAAAAGAAAAAAACATGGCGTGTGCGTGGTCAACGACGGTCATTTGAACACGCACCGTTCCACATTGACGACATCGTGACGTGAAGATGTGGACAGGCACGTAGGTGCCCATAAATAAATGGCACAGCCAGCCGTATCCACCAATACTGAGAATAATAAAATTTATATCAATACAGTGCCAACTGCGCGGTAAGTTAATATCTGTCTTCTCTTCCTACCGTTACTGCGGAGCTACAAACGATTCGGGCATCGCACTGCTCGAAGACAACAAGATACGACTGATCAGAATCAACACCGACTTTTAAGACAACAGTCGAATGAATAAAATTGTTTAATTTAGTCAGGATGTCACAAAACATTCTCACGTGAAAGGCATTTCCCATTGTTGTTTATTTTTATTTTAACTGATTTATTTATATATATTTTTATAGTTTATTATTGAACATTTAGTGATCGCTTACACAAAGTTTTAAATTATACTTTGACAAACCACATTTTATTGACACCTCTAATTTCGGACGACTGGAAAAGTTTAATAACAATTGCTTCCCTTTCAAGTGGCAATGTTTTAGTAACAATGATTTTTGATTTTGCTAATAATTAAGCGTTCACATGTTTGGTTTAAATGAAAATCTTTGTATGTCGATTTCTTATGGTTTTATTTATTTATTCCATCACTTATAAAACTGTTTGGGGACTTTAACGGGTGAAAACAAACAACTGCGAATGTTTCGTTAAGTTAGTGCAACTTAAATATTAATATAAATTATATTATATAATGCTAGGTTTTTAATATTGATGTCCATGACAAAGTGACAAGATGGAGCAATTATTTAATCATATATCTATACCTATACTATATTTCACAATGCTTGCAGTGTTCATTTCTAAAATGTTTCATTACAAATTTAAGTTAACCCTATTTAGGCTAGGAGAATTGTTGCAAAATATACACGTTCTTCGCGAAATCAGAAAATAAGTTTAAATTTTATTAGAATTAAAAGTACAATACGACCATACAATACAATTTAACACAAATCTTTCAAATCATCAGAATCGCGGAATGATACATATACAAATGAGAATACTTTCAATAATTCACACTGTCCAAGACATAGGTTGAGAATGGGCCTTGACATTCGCGACTTACATAATTTTTTTTAATAATACAACATTTCAACCGATTTATTGTAAACAGTCAAAAGTTAGCCGTTTTGTTTTATGTGAAAATGGTTGCAAACAAGCATAGCCCGTTTGATGCTAATGCCTTGCAGCGCTTGTTGCATATTTATCATATCATATGCTAGGGGGAGTGAAACCTCACACACCGACAGCAACACAACACAAGAAAAAGGACTTTCCGAGACGGCCGTTTCAATTCGAGCGGAATAGCAAAGCGGTTATTAGCATTTTTAGGAATAGTTTCCAGCTAAACAGAGAACTTTAGAACAGCCTATATCTATGTCTGCTGAAATGTAAATGACTGGCCCAAGAACAACCCAGCGTCTGTCGGACTCACGCTTCACACATCGTATACAAAACTCTCCCTAACGCATAACAAAGGTCGTACCATGATGTTCCTTATCCGATCCAAGAGCAGCAGTCAAAATTGGAACAAAATTTCACGGTACGGCCTTTAGGTTCAACCACCCAACTCCTTTGGTAGTTTATGAAGTCAATGCGACATTTTGCACCAATGAAGGTAGTTTTCTGAAATGATGGGCGCCAGGTGGCAACACTGAGACGGAAGGTCCACTCATAGGCATAAGGACAATGTATCCATTGCCAATTAATTAAAAAAAAGTCCACTCATACGTCAAATCACCTATGTCGTCATAGTCTATGGATCAATTAAAATGCTCGTTCAATTAGTTCGCGCCAAAAACTTCATACAAAAGGCCTCATGTCAAAGTGGCGCCAACAGGCGGCGTAAAAATTTCTAAACACCCTCATTATGAAAGCTTTGAACTGTACAGAGTATTTTTATTCAATTCAATCCAATCTTTTGTAAATCTTATACCATGCAAGAAAAAGCTAAGTTAGCTGGAGAAATCTGATGATTGCAAGTACCTACTTCTATGTAGTCTACGGGCAGGACTTGATTCACAGATTACCGACATTTATTTAAATTTCGAATCTTTTAACTTATATAGTTGCTCAAAATACCGCGATGACGTCATAAACCATGGCAATAGCTAAAGCGACGGAATTAAACAGTTGACGATCGTATCTTTAATCACGAATTACTGTCATAGTAGGTATAACCGTATAACTCGTCAGGATGGAATCGAAAAAGCCGACGCAAGACATTTTGTCTTTGTCACATGTTACTTCGGATAGCGTGTGCGAGAAGGACAGAATCTTACGTCGTCATTTGAGATTGCTTTCTTTAATAACACGAGTTTTAGTTATTTAATAATGATACATGTATTTAGTTTTGGCGAGCGAGCAGCTTTTATGTGTACAAACTTTTGATACGACTGCATCGCCAAGACTTACTGCACTGCGTAGGTTTCAAAATAACGAAGGTTACCAATTTAATTACAGTCTCTTCAGAATATTTTACATAAATAGTGGTACCGAAACTTTAGGTTCTAAATTTAAATGAAAACATAATCGGGTAATGATTATTAATTAATTTAACGGCGATAACATGAAAAAAGGGTAAGTATATGGAAGTGTATTTGTTTAAATATAGTTGGCAATTCTAGACTAATTGTTATATGAAATCAGAATACATTTTTTGCAGTTATTGCATAGAAAAACGTACTACACGTCTGTATTAACTCACGCCATACAAACTTGTCCATAAATCAACGATATATATTTTCTGGCTCAATAATTCGAGTGCCAGCCTCTTTTATGTTGCATTTTTTGTGTCAGATATGTTTTTACCATTTAATATTTACAGATTATTAAGTTCGAACTAAGTATATGCTATAATAAAATGCCCTAAATAATAATTTTAAATATTGGATATTTTTCGATTGGTGGGCAATTTTAATACTTGCCCTTTTGTCATGGATTCTTCGTCACTAACCCTACGATGCATTTGATTTTTTTATTTGCACATCTTTACTCAGTACTAAAATTTTTGAAGTGATAACTTTACATGGGTAACTGCTTCGTTATGTAACGCGTTACGGCGCCAGTGTGCCTGGCTTCCCTTTCTCTCACGCATACGGCAGCGATAGGCAGGCACCTTTTCTCTCACTCTCAGGCTCTGCTTAGATTAGTATAAGTTATCACTTCTGTCGTGCACCCCGAGACGCACGCGCTTTTATTTATTTTAATGTTTGCACTTAATTTTATGTTGGCATATTTTACATAACATTATTAAAAAAAATCCTATGATGGTAATAAAAAAGGTACAAAAAGGGGTAAAGTATAATTTTCTCCTTCAGTAACAAAAGACAAGTGACTTTGTAAGTGCGACAATTTATATCCCAGGCTACTCTTGGAGCAGTATTCCGAGTTCTTATGCAAACACAATGCACAAATGCAATATCATTTAACTTATATGGATTACATTTTTCACTACTTGGAAGAATATAACCGTTCCTATCGCATGTTTTATTATGTACAAATCTTTAGTAAGTTAGGTACTTATAAATATGTATTTCAAATGTTTAAAATTAAAGATATCGTGAGAAGTGGAACTGCGACCGCGCGAAGCAATACAAATGATTATGTATTTAAATTCTAAATTAACTTTTTGTTCGCCTCTTTATCCAGCATTGATTGATGTCGTTCGTGTGGTCTGGTATGCTTCTCTGTACTAACCGCAGAAGGTAGGACTGGACTCTGATGGATGAGACAAACGAATACTCAACATATAATCCGGTCAAATAAGACAGAAAAATGAAAGTGAATGTACATAGATACACTGGAAGTGAGTAAAATCGTTGAAAACATAAATAAAAATAAGATTTTCAAATTCCCCATCCTTCCAGTATTTGGAAAAAAAAAAATACTGGAAGGATGGGACACTATTATACTATAAATTTATCTCGAACATAAAAAAGGTAATAATTTGACCTTCAGATGATTACAGGGCATACACAAAGTAGACGTCATACAGTAGACGTAATCGAACCCAGCGTTTTGGCGGTATATTCAAAACCATTAAAAATAAATTCAACTTTAATTGGTCTAACGGTGAAAAAAAGATATGAATTAATTTATTTTTCTGTTAAATCGTTTGTCCCAATCTTTAAATATAAGCAGTTTTAAATTTTTGGAAAATACCCTGTTTGATCATCAGGTAAAGTATTACAGTTGAACAAACTAGTTAAACTGCACAGTTTGATTCTATTTTTATTTTTAAACATTTAACTTCCAGATGTTTAACCCTTTCCTCCCGGCATACCGAAATCGTTTGAATTTCGAAATCTTTTTGATAATTTCTGAATATTGTTTTTAAAATGAAACACATATATTTTTTTCAAATTTTTATTGTACCTAGAACTAGGTTTTTCAGTACCTAGACATATCGGTACCGTCAGCAACTTTATGTATCACATTCATTAGGAACTTCGTTATAATTATTTGGAAGTTCTTAGGTAACTATGTCAACAAATAATATTAAAATAATAAATAGAAGTAACAAATCAGACTTAAACATTCTTGTTCAGTCAATTCTAAAACGACTCTTTCCCCCAATCCGTACTTCTGGAACTTCTCAGACATTTCTTCGTCTCTCCCTTGATAAATTTGAAATTTCTTTATAAAGCCTCTCTGATCAGCCAAACACCACAACTTATACCCTCTCTTGATTGGCTTCATTGGTAGATACTGTTTCAATACAGATCTACCCTTGACTCATCCACGCTCAATTCACGTGTTCCATGATAACACTCTTGAAATTTTCTGTTCAACTCCCTCACTACTGGTCTGATTTTGTATAGCTTATCTTTGCAATTTTGAGGCATTTCAGTGTTATCATTGCAATGTAAATTAGCCAAAATCGCGGCGAATCTATCTCTCGGCATGGTTTTGCATATAAGTGCATTGTTCAAATGCTCTGCGGAAGAGAAATGGTCTGTCCAAGCAGGTCGACTATATAACCCATGAAGAAATTCATGCCTATAAAAGCTAGAAGTTCTTCCTTCTTGAGATTCAATATTTTACCTTTTTGGGTAGCAAAAAGGTTGCTTTGGTATAAAATATTTTCCAATAATCCATCTACCAACACCAAAAAGATATCGGTCGGTGTGGAGCAGTTGGTAAAACATTCTTCTACTACTTCGGTATTTGCAGTATATTCAGATAAACTATTTACTACTTCCCGCTTTTTCTACTTACGATTCGGTTCCGGGATGGGTCTTGGACAGGCAGGTGTTAGCACAGTTCTTGACATGGACCCACTCGTTGAAGGTTGAACATCACGAGAATTGTCAGGGGTGGGGCTAGGAACTAGAGATACCTCGTCAATTGGAGATGGTGGTCGTGATGATAGTTTCATTTCATTTAGGGCCTGTTCGATAGCTGCCTCGAATACGTCATCGAAGTCTCTCCGGGCTCCCGTTGCGGGTAGATGAACATTATGCTCATTTTCTTCATCAGACGTATCCACCTCCGAAACATCGCCGCAGTTTGGAATTTCTTCAAGCAATATTGCCTCGATTAGGGCTGTATCCTTTGCAATATTGCGATTGCGATTCATATCGGGACAACTGCAATATAAAAACATAATTTTATAAAGTGTCTAATGAAATAATAATAAAAATAAACCACCCTCTTTATCTACGCACACCATACAAAACACATACCCAAAGTTACTGTCGGTACTTTTTAGTACGCGCCAGTCTTGGGAACATTTAGGCATGAAATAATGCAAAATAATACATACAATAAATCTTTATACAATCTTTTTTACATAATCTAAGGGAATAATAACATAAAAGGCCACTTACCTATGATAAACAATTTTTAAAACAATTCACAAGTGGAGCTTCATAAACTTCGTCAAGTCCCCGACAAGTTGTAACCGGCAAATTGAATTGATTGATCCGTTTACCACGGAATATGGATGAAGCGCTCTGATTGGCTAAGGGAGTGATCCGAGAAAGGAACAACAGTGTTTTCGACGTGCTGTTTGCTTGCGTTCTCGATATAATAGACGAAATGCGAGTCAGTTCATAAAAGTACCGTCAGATAGGAAAGGGTTAAACATAAAGAAAAACAAAAATATAACTATACTTGCTATTTCTTCTTTCAAATGTTTAATATAATGTAAAGGTATTAATTTGACATTGTGGGTCATACAATGCGAAGAGATGGCGCCAAATGCGAAGAGATGGCAGTCTAAGAAATGCTAGAGAAAATTCAACACGGGCAATTAGGGCCGCGGTAGTATTAGCCCCACCTGCTGCCTGAACCGCGTGGATTTTTTTCTAGTAAAATTTTTACACAGTCCGACCTGACCACGAGTAAGTAGCTACATTTTCTTCGTGATTTCGACAACTATAGTGTGCTGAGTGTATAAGTCGCGGCACAAAACTAGCGTTGACCGTTATTGCGCAGAAGTAAAAATTAAGATGTGTTGGGGGGAAACGAATTGCGCGGGTGGGCATGCGTTGCGCCGATTGTCTCTCCAGTCGTACCCATGCGCAGCTATCCCTGACCCGTTTTGTTCAGCGCTAGTTTCGTGCCGTGACCTTTAGGCTGATTTTCCACCAGAGATGTGCTATGCTACGTTGCTGTAGATGCGTTTGATATCCACTAGACTTGCAACGAATAGTCTATTCGGCAGTATACCGAATATTCGGCGAGGCCCCTGACCGAATAGCCGAATATTAGGTAAAAGTATTCGGCTGGATTTTAGCGCCAGAAACATGTACAGACATGATTGTTTCGCGCTCCTTTGTTTTGTTCTAATCTGCCGTCCTCAAGCTAAAATGCGGCTAAATGACAGAACCAACTTTTGAGATATGGACAAACACAGCGCGTAAACTTAAAATTATTGCTATTATGTAACCATTCATCACATGACTGAATGAATTAAAAACTGTTAACTTGTTTAATACAGAAGATGATTAAATTGTGTACGTGTTTTATGTACCAATGACTACTTAATAAATGATTATAAAAGAAATGAGCACCTTACCCTTCTTAATTTTGATTACCACAATAATTCAAATACATAGAATCCTCCATTTTTCCAATTCAAAAGATGATTATGTGCCTGTGTTATGTACCAATGACTACTTAAATGATTATATGAATATATATGTAATCAATCAATTTTAATTTTTCATTTTACCAATTATTTCTCTATGACAAAATGTATTATTTAAGTATTCGATATTCGGCTGAATAATATGTAGATATTCGGTATTCGGCCGAATATAATAAAAGCAGCCGAATACCGAATAGTAACCGAATATTCGTTGCAAGTCTAATATCCACCAATCAAAACCATTTGTCCACATAGTACTGGAGGAAACGGATTTAACTATTTAACTCAGCTATGTTTTTTTATATGGAAGGATGCGGGCTATAATGGCCGCGAGTGGTATAGCTATATCAAGAGAAAAGTGCCCGCGTTTGTCTCTGAAAGTAGACATACTACCCTGGAAGCAAAAAGTTATTTTGTTTCTCGCAATGTGCGAAGAAGAACTCATGGCCGGGGCTTGTTTACCGTTTAATTTACAAATCTAAATCTGTGTCAAGTACATAAGAAGCGTTTTATTTAGGTTTGGCTCTACCTTAACCTTAAGAAACCGGTTTTCCTAAAGAGTGAAATCAAATAGGTTTTGAATCAATTTAGCGGTTTTTAAAGGGTTTCATTACGCTCTTTCTGACGACATCGAATATAAATGAATAACTTGACTGACTAAACGCTAGCAAACGTGTCAATAAATGCATCAATCTCTGTGCATTAACAAGTTGTGACTTGAATAGTGCAAACAAAACAAACTTCAAGCGATGCCGACGCGTGCACGTGTCGCTGTGGATTAAACCGGTTTATTAAGGTTTTAGGTACCGCTTTCAATTTGGACGCGCTCCGAACGACACCTTTACTAAAAACCGGTATTAACCTTTATTTACCCGGTATTTTCGAAACCGGTTTCAAGCCCTGCTCATGGCGGAAGATGAATCGTTGTTCCTCTGTTTACTCGCAACGAAGTAATCATAGATACATCGCATAGCTATTACTGCCATACGCCTGTGGAATGCTCTCCACTAAGCATACATAGTACTGACAATAAGTTTCAGTTCTATATATTTATATGTGGTTATGGGTTTGTATGTAACTTATGTTTATCTAATGTATATAATTTTATGGAGTGTATTATGTAAGGTATTTGTTTATGTGTATGTAAATATTATTAATATGTTTTCTATAACTGTTTTATTATATTATTTATATATACTGTAATATTATGTATTTATTTATACGTACTTTATTTTAGTATATAAATTTATAAAATATATTTTATTTATTTATTTATATGTGTATGTTTATGTATGGATATACGAGTATTTTATATATGTACATCAATTTGTATTTAAGTATTATTATTTTATTGCTGTTATTTTGATATGTATTGTTCATTTTATTTAATTTTTAGCAACTTTGCTCTATCGCCATACTATTTGTCTCCAACAATCAACAATCATACTGGTTGACTGGTAGAGAATGCCTACGGCATTAAGTCCGCCGTTTGCTTATGTTTGGCAATAAAGTTTAAATAAATAAATAAATTAGCTCGAGCTGCATCGGTGGCGCATCTTCATAGCACATCTTACACGCCCCGCTACATAGCTTAGCATCAGTGGAAACGGTCACGTAGTTTCGTAGCTTAGCTGACACATCCTCGTAGCATAGCTGGATAGCACATCTCTGGTGGATAAGCAGCCTTAGTGTGTGAAGTCTTTAGAAGGAAAAGCAGCCTTAGTGTGTGAAGTCTTTAGAAGGAAATGCAGCCTTAGTGTGTGAAGTCTTTAGAAGGAAAAGCAGCCTTAGTGTGAGAAGTCTTTAGAAGGAAAAGCAGCCTTAGTATGTGAAGTCTTTAGAAGGAAAAGCAGCCTTAGTGTGTCAAGCCTTAGTGACTCACCTGTTGTTAGAGCAGCAGTCGTGCGGTTAGTATCTCGAGCGCGGCCTTGCGGCGCAGGTAGGGCATGTGAGCTTGGCTGAAAGTGTACGGGGCGTTGCGACTCGAGAATTCGGCGAATGTGCACGCGAACATGCCGCAGTCGCTGCCGTTCATTTGTTGGGGGATGTCCTGTGGAATAACAGCACTTTTGCAATATACTTAATATTTAAAATGACTATAATTAAAACAAAAAGACATGATTGAATGCCGTAAAAGATAAGGACTAGCGAGCAACCAGATCGACTCCACCATTCACTGCGCACTCATACATCAATTTTACAAAAAGTACACATGGTGTTTATGATAAAAAAGTGTGTCATTTTAAAAATAAGTTCTCCTTCATTTACGGAATTACTAATTACACATTAAGTGCTATAATTACACAATACAGTTAACTTGCTTCATAAGCTACCCACGACTTGCGTTGCTTATACCGCCATAAAAGTCCCCTGCGACCAGCTATCCTTATCCTAAATTCACGTTCAACATATGTGAAATAGGAAAGAGGAGCTTAATGGCGCGGGTGGTTAGCGCGTTTGGCTGTGATCGTTGAAGTTAAGCACCTTTTGCAGTGGTCGGTCATTGGATGGGTGACCAAAAAACTTGTAACTCAACCGGCCGCCGCATATACCAGGACGCCTTAGATCACGTCTACGAAGTGTCGGGCCCCTCAGAGCCGACACGGCACGACCTAGCAGGACGAGTCGACGACGTCCTCTGCACCGCGGAATCTCCACTATCATTAACCAGGAGGTAATGCTGGATCTCCCATCAGATCATTGACCGGTGCTATGTACACTGCTCCTCCAATCTGCTCGCGTGAGTCCGCCTACTCCGCGGGTAATCATCGACTGGGGCGCATTCTAGGAGGACACTGCATCCGCCATCACTACGCGACTCATCAACACCCCAACAGACGTCAAGGCAGCTGCGGGCGAGATCACATCCGTGAATTATGCTCTGCACTTTTATCGGTCACACGCACCCGCTTCGATACCGAAACGTATCCTCCACTCCCCACTGGCATAAGGGAACTTATTGCCGAGAAGTGCCGAGCTCTTCGGCTCTGGCAGTCCACCCGCTGCCCCACCACCAAGACCAGATTCAAAGCGCTAATCAGCCACGTCAAGGGGGCCCTGACCACGCTGCCGCGCAATGGGACAGCCACCTGCAGATCGTGGGCTGTGACATGCCCTTCGCTCACCGCCTATGCAAGCAGCTCACTAAAGCCACGGCCCCTCATCTATAACAACGGTCACTCGTGCAACCACGCTGAAGACCGCGCCGAATTACTAACGGATCTCTTATCACGCCTCTTCACGTCGAATGAAACGACGGTACAGTGAACACGTAAATTAGCTATAAGTAGTCATTACCGGCCCCATCGTCTTCACTCCACAAGCCAGGTCCAACGAGAGATCTCCAGGTCCAACCATGTAAGGCCCCTGGACCTGACGATATTACCAACATAGCACTACGACACCTTTTTTTTCATATATATATATTTCCAACACAAACCAATTAGCCTAGCCCCAAAGTAAGCACTATAAGGCTTGTGTTATGGGATGCTAGGGTAACGGAGAGAATACATATACTGTACATATATAAGTATATTTATATAGAAATACATATTAAACTTCCATGACTGGACTAAAAATGCTCGTATTCATCACACAAACATCTGCCCCCCCCCCCCCCCCCGGGATTCGAACCCGGGACCTCTCGAATCGGCGACACCATTAAACCCAGCGTACAAACCACTCAGCCACGGAGGTCGTCAAACAAGGGAATCTGACTCACTGGCTATTATGATTATTATGTATGTGCGCCAACTCAGCTAAGACGCAGGCACTGCTAATCAGCCCAGAACGCGTGAATCCGCCGCCACTTAACGTCTAAGTCAGGCTGTCCCCTGACGCTAAGAATCTTGGCGTCATTACCGACTGCCGCCTAACTAACCGCCGCAGACATGAGTAATATCGTAGCACAAATGAAGATTTCGTTACGGCCGCCCATACTGTCTAAATAAATACGAGATCTTCCTCGTCTGGAAATCTATTATGCTCTAAATCACTCAAAATTTACTCACTTTAAGTATTTCCGTAGTCCACCCGCTGTCGTCAAAGGGCTGCCCCTTCCTGTCCTTGTGTTCGTCTCGCAAGTACTGCAGCAGCGCGTCGAGGCACGACTGGTTGCGGCCGTCCATACTATCTAAATACGAGATTTTCTTCGCCTTGAAATCTATTATGCTCTAAATCACTCAAAATTTACTCACTTTAAGTATTTCCGTAGTCCACTCGCTGTCGTCAAAGGGTTGCCCCTTCCTGTCCTTGTGTTCGTCTCGCAAGTACTGCAGCAGCGCGTCGAGGCACGACTGGTTGCGGCTGTCCATACTATCTAAATACAAGATCTTCTTCGCCTTGAAATCTATTATGCTCAAAATTACTCAATATTTACTCACTTTAAGTATTTCCGTAGTCCACCCGGTGTCGTCAAAGGGCTGCCCCTTCCTGTCATTGTGTTCGTCTCGCAAGTACTGCAGCAGCGCGTCGAGTCACGACTGGTTGCGGCCGTCCATACTATCTAAATACGAGATTTTCTTCGCCTTGAAATCTATTATGCTCAAAATTACTCAATATTTACTCACTTTAAGTATTTCCGTAGTCCACCCGCTGTCGTCAAAGGGCTGTCCCTTCTTGTCCTTGTGTTCGTCTCGCAAGTACTGCAGCAGCGCATCGAGGCACGACTGGTTTCGGCCGCCCATACTGTCTAAATACGAGATCTTCTTCGCCCGGAAATCTATTATGCTCAAACACCAATGCACTCCCAAATGCACTGGAACTACCATTATATCGTGCGCGAATATGTCCACCTAAAAACCGAAATACATTTTTATGTGGGAACAGAATGAACCAAATGCATTTATATAGCTAAAAGGTTTTTCTTTGCATTGTTAACCCTTTTTTCACTCGGCATTTGCCATTTTATTCCAGGTTAATTTTTTACAAACATGAACATCCAAAACTTGTGCAGTTAATTTAGATATTGTATTTGAGCCAGGCCTGGGCTACTGTATGGACGTGAAATATGAAAATAATACTCTGGATAAAATACTTAATATCTATTCTCATGAAGAAACATTCCTTTTTCGCAAGTAAAATCAGTTTATTATAACTTATATCAACTATCATTGATATTTCACTTAAATCAGTGACAAATCTATCTTTTACAATAACACAAATTTATGCGCAAATAAAAAACAAAATAAAATTCTTAAGTGAGTGAAATACCTTCCTAGTCCACCGCCGTAAACCCGCTTGTCCTGCCTGCATGAGCTTGGGGTAAAAGAACGTGTTAGTGGCGTAGACTCGCGGCAAATCTGACTTTTGTTCACACCGCTGCATCAATAGGTTCATGTAGAAGTTGATAACTTCGTCGTTCAACCAGTTCAGTCCAGCCAGCGTCTGCAGGTCACGCCTTAGGAAAAAAATAATGGTAATGTGAATTGGTGCATGGTCAAATTAGATCATTAAAGTACATATTTAAAATCTATGCAAGTTTTGGGGCAGTAAACTCAAACACTTTTTCTAAAATAAAATAGATATTTCTTGAAAATATAGCATTAAATTTACTGTGTAAGGTGCTGCTGATAAAGCTATGTTTTGATTTCACCATTAACAATTGCTCATTTTCACTATTCTGGCTTTTAGGACAGTATTAATAGATTGCTCTGAACTCTAAGAACGTTCTTGAGCATGATCTTGAGATCCTGTTTTATAAGAATACAGTATCTCAAGATTGTAGTCTCAGAGTTGAGAGTAATCTATTAATACGGGCCCAAGTATAGTTTACTATGATATAGATAAAGTTTTATTCACCTATGTATCCTTAAATTGAATTTTTCTACAAGTAGTTGCCCTGGTGGTCCAGGCCCAAGGGCTCTGTTCACCAACTTCTCCTGCTCAGGTGTTAGAGGTGGTAATTCTACTGTCGGTTGCGGTTCCTCAAACAAACTTTCAGGTATACTAAGCTCATACTTCAATTTGTGCTCCAAATGTGCTATTTTCTGTTCACTATTAACTTTAGATATGATATCACTCTCTCTCCGTGCATCTCGAAGTTTTTCCTGAGTGTCTTTCTTTTTCATTTTATATTTGTTATCTAACTTTGCTAGCCAATCACCTGCTGTGACAGCTTTATCTCTGAATGAGTCTCGTAATGAATTAATAGGATCAATCCTTACTGAAGATGTAGTAGATGACTCAGAGGGTACGATTTCCACCTCAGAATCTGAAGAATTGATAGAAGCCACAGTAATGGGATCGTACTCCTTTGCAGATTCATTTTCCTTATCAACCGCCAATCCTTTTTCAACTAATTTGATATCATCCAATGCCTTTTTCTGTGATTTTTGTGTCATTCTAAATGATGCTGCATCTTCAGCAAGATTGATTAGATCTAATGGCTTTCCACGATTTATTGGTTTCATAGAATTGGCCACTTGTCTGATTAATTCTTTGTAATTTCTCTTCTCATCCAAATTAAATACTTCATTTAAAGTTGATCTAGTATTACCATTAAGATTTAAGAACTTATTTCTTGTGTTGGAGAGATTCAAAGACTTCGTTGGTTGCATCCATCTAGGTACAGGAGTTGGAACTTTTTTGTAGGTTTTTGTAATACCAGCAGGGGCTTTAAATTTACTAATTTGTGCTTTAGGAGATAGACTGGCAAAATTGCGATCATTTAACTTTCTACTTAATCTGTAATATGGAACATCTTCTCTTGCATCCAAGTCTTCATTGTGGCTATCTTTTTTTATAAAGTACTTGTATGGTTTGGAAGTATTAACCTTCCTGACAAATATAACATCATCATCTTCCTGATTGTGGTCATTTTCATCATCTAAATTGATATAAACTTTTGATGGCCTACTGTTACAATTATCTTCAACCCATGTTACCTAAAAATAGTAAATCAAATTAGTCATTTGACCCATAAAATACTTAGAAATCATAAACCGCAATACCTAACTGGGAGTAAAAGAGTAACAGGAGCATGTTTGTAGAAAGCACTCATTACTTCCATGGACCTTTTTAATTTCATATTTGGGAAAAAGATTAGTTAATGTCACATTGCCACTTGCTTTTAAGAGTATCACAGAATGAGTTGAAGTTAGACAATTAGCCCCCAGAATTCACCAGCTGTTAACTTTGCATGGAAATAATTATCTACCATAAGGAAGGGTAGTGTCTTAAACTGCTATAGGTGATAAACAGTCTTGCAACATTAGACAACTATTGTTTTTTGACTTTTTAAATCCACCCAATGCCAAATATGTTGTATTTTGGTTTAATTGAGTATGCAAGATGTAAATATCAACATAAAACCGATTGCACTACATCTTTGAAGCTATATCTACTCTGACAGAAGTAAATTACTAAACATTGATACACTAGCAGCTCTAGAGATTACATTAAGTGGAGTGCAATGTCCGTTTTAAAATTATCATTATTACTACCTCTTGTTCATCATCTTCATCATCAATCACAGCATGTATCATGGGCTTCACCGGGGTATGCATCCTCGGCTTTTGGGTAGGTGTTGAGGGCCCATTTTGAGTAAGACCTACTAATTTTATAGGAACTGTTCGCACTTTACTTGCTGCTTTTCCAGATGTTTCTATGGGGGTTGATGTACTAGGATACCCTGCTTCCACTTGGATTGGGACATATCTAACATGTTTATATTTGTTGTCATTCTTTTCTAAAATATCTGTAAGAAAATTTAATACTCAATAATATGGTGTGTGTTATTCAAAATCACTAAAGTTCATGTTTATTAATTTTAGTTATAATAAACCTTTAGAATCCATTATATCTGGAAAACTAGTTCTCTTCAAGTGTCTGAACTTTTTGAATGCCGGCGAATCATCGTCTGACGAACAATCATCGTCTACCCTGGAAAGCAATATTGACATATAAACAAAATATTTCCATTTACTTTACATTTACAGACTCTCACTTACATCCAAAACTTGGAGGCAACTTTCAGAGGGATCTTAATCATATTTTTTAGTGTGAATATTGGAAAAAACACGATTTCTTGGAGACTTTGCCGCCATAACTAAACGGACCAGAATGTTCATGTTGTAAACATGTCACACGTACCTGTCGCGTTTGAAACTAGTTCTAATCGCCGGATTATCATCACACCAACCAAGTAAACTACGCACATAAGCCACGACGGACTTCATTTTCGGTAAATTATGGTTCCATTACCTTTGTTGGTATGTTTATAAATGACAAATAGCATAAATCGTATATTTCCACAAGACACAACTGTGGCGTAAAATAACCATAAACGAAATGTTTTTTTTTTCTTATAAATTAGGTATGTGTTCTGATATCGTTAGTAAATAAATCGATTTTTAGCCAAATGAATGATTTAAATGATAAGTAATATTGAATCGATTCAGTAAAACATTTTTCAATGATCTAGATCATTGATATTCGATTCTTGCCTCAAGGAGTCAATACCAACCCAAGCAGTAAATGGTACTGACTCCAAATATTAATAAGACTTTAAGTATACTTTAGATATATGCGAAGAATACATTATTTCTTGCTTTGATAACTATAATTGCTATTATTACTTTCAAATGTTTAGTACTTGTAAGGGTATTAATTTGGCATTGTGGGCACCTACAATGCGAAGAGATGGCTCTGACTTGCAGCCTAAGAAATACTAGGGAAAATTCGACACGGCTATCAGGGCCGCAGTAGCATAATGGTCAGTGCAATCGCCCGGATAGCAAAAACCGCGATTTCGAGTCCCATCTGCTGCATGGTCCACGTGTTTTTTTTTTCAGTAATTTTTTCTTTAGATTTACTTAGATCATTACAAATATAAGAATTTAGTAATATAATGATGTCGATTCTGGCATGATTCTCTAAAGCTAAACTTAAATTTGACAACAGTGCATCCTTGTCCTTCTCTATACAGAAGGAAAGGGTGAGACTGACCTTAAATTTAGTTTTAAGTTTAGAAAATCACGCCAGAATTGATACCATTATATGTTATAGTTAAAACCCGTTTTTAGATGAAACGCGTTTTTAGTTAAAATTAGTTTTTACTTAATGCCTTTGTTAAAACTACAAATTACTAGTCAAAACTAGAATTTACCACTGATATATTTGATTTTAAGATAAAACTAGTTGTTACTCAGAGCTTTAGTTAAAACCAGTACTAGAGAAACTAATTTGGAATTGAAAACAAGATATAGTTTTAAAAATATTTATTAAAAAGATCTAGGACACAAAGTCATATCGTCACTTGTAATATGAATAACCGTAGCCGCCAAAAGCCAATTTTTCAGGAGAGGCAAGAAATAATTTGAAAATTAGAAAAAATATTATAACTCTATGTAAGGTGAAATTGAATGTTTTAATAAAACTTCGTGGGATTATTGGGTTACTTATATAGAGTATCTCTGATTTTTTTCGGATTTTTTAGAATAATTTAAAAATAATTTTTTTTTTTTTTATTCTTTTCCTCCTTTTGGGTACTCAATAATTAATCTTTTTAAACACGCATACAGAGTAAGTAAAAACAACTAATAAGCAATACTAAAAAAAACGGAAAAACAGAAGACGGCCGGCCGGGAGCAATGATCTCTCCCGCCGTTGAATACCTGCCTACCTAGTATACACATAGGTAGGATGTGAATTTTGCCTTGGTGGAAATGAATTTCCAACTAAATGAAAACCTTACAGAATCTTTTTAAAATTAGTAGTGGCTAGTGGTCAAAAAGGTCAAGTATGCAGAAAATAAACAAGGAGATCTTTAGCGGCTATGCCACATCGTTACAAAGCTACACACAAGCCTCAGCTACAAGCGTTAGCAAAAGCGTAAAAATAAGCAGTAGTCGATAATATATCTTAAAGACTGAAAGAGTGAGGAAAAGAGCTATTATTTTATGAGCTATTATTATAAAATTTTGTAGAGAGTATAGTGTGGGTATTTTCTGTAAAAATTCGTTTGCTCTAACAGTTTTCGAATACAGTTTATTATGCTAGCTTGATCGTGATGTTAGCGTACAGTCGTATACAGTGAAGTCCACAAGAAAACGGGGGTTTAAACCGATTATTTTGAAACAATCGGTATAATACAATGTGTGATCCGCATCACTAGCGCGCGTCATGACCATGGACATATGGACATACTGCGTCTATGGTCATGACATGTCTATAGACATGACTATCTTAAGCCAGAAACATATTAATGTGTCGCATTGTGTCGTGGCGTGCCAGAAGCACATCGGTTTCATACATTTACTATGGTTAGAGACATATTTACGTGTTATGTGGTGTCGGCGCTCAAACTTCTCTCTCTCTCTAACCCATAATAAATGTATGAAACCGATGTGCCATGACACAGAATATTAAATGATTACGGTCTTAGTTATCTGTGATGATAGACAGACACGTAAATTGGCTGTATGGGCACAGTACCCTTTGCCTTCCCAGAATGGGTAAAGAAATTAAAAAAAAAGACACGTGAAGTGGCGCGCCAAGTTTGTTTTTGAAAAGAAAAAGCTTGTTTCTAGTGATATTTTTAATGCTTAAAAAGAATCATTTTTATGAACTGCATATTATTAATAGTGTTCTACTGTAATTTAAAAACTTCATAAGTATAATTTCCGCCTGGGTTTAATTTCATCATAACAACAATGTTACAACCTGTGATGCACATTTTGAAACAGAAAAATATTATTCTTGCTAGTGGTTCTCCAAGAAGAAAGGAGCTTATTGAAAATATTGTATGGATACACTTCAGTAGATATTAATTTATCATATATTTTGTTTTAGAAGGTAATTAAATAATACATTTCCAGGGTTTAAAGGTTGCTTTGTGTCCTTCACTTTTTGAAGAGAATTTAAATCCTAGAGATTTCCGCAGCTTTTCGGAATTTGTGGAGGAAACAGCTTTACAAAAAGTGCTAGAAGTGGAGTCTCGGTTGAGCAGTCAAGGCGTAAGCCCTGATGTTGTAATAGGTGCTGACACTATGGTCACTCTTGACAAAGAAATGTTTGGAAAACCTACTTCTGAGGTTGAGGCATTCGAAATGTTGAGTAGGTAAGTAAAATATGTTAGCATTACCCCACACATACATAACGCATTTTGTAAGATCATATCTTATTAAAGCACTTTTCAGGTTATCAGGCAGATCTCACACCGTGTACACTGGAGTAGTGGTCAAATCATTTGACAAAGTAACTAAGTTCACAGAAAAAACTGATGTATTCTTTGGTAAACTAGAAGATGATCAGATAAAAGGATATATTGCAACAGGGGAACCTATGTGAGTATGGTGTTTTCATTTTAAATTTAAATTAAATGGAGTGGCAAACTAGCATAAGGCCTGCCTGTTGGTAAGCGGCCAACATAGCCTATGGACGCTTGCGATACAAAAATTTCTCTCATACAGTTGCCTACTGTGACCCAATCCCTTACCAAGTGGAGCCCTGGAGCCTAAGTTATCGACAGAAACAACACCACCAAAAGCTAGTGTTATTCCGCTTTGGTCTTCTGTAAGGTGTAAGTTACTTCCTCAGATGGGTGCTACAATCCGAGCAGAAAATCTGCTATGGCCCTATGATTTATTTTACAATTATTTTTAGAACACTATAACAAAAGCTCCACAGTTCATCTTTCATGTCATCAGCAGGTTGTATTTCATGAATAAGTATACACTTGAAATTGTCACAGAGTATATTTCTGTTCCCATCATAACAACAAATGAGACAGTTATATAAAACACTAATTAGGAACCTAGTCCCTAATTCCTTAGGCTTTTAAATAAAGTGGATATGAAACAACATAAAAAAAAACACCACAAAATTTTACCAACCAAGTAGATTCCAGTCGCAAAGATTGCAAGAAAGTGTGCTCTGCAGTCATCCTTACCAATTTCCTACTCCATGGAGCCATGGAACATTACTCACCTACAGAATAAATCACGAAAAGGTACTGGTTTTCATTATGATCTCCTGTAAGGTGAAAGATTAAGAAAATTCCGCTAAACCCTACTTGTTTCGCCGTTATGCATTTAAAGCAATAAGATCCTCCAAGAGATATAGTGGTGTTGATTCTGGCACGATTCTCTAAAGTTAAAACTAAATTTAACATCAAGTCTCTCCTTTTTATTATCTGTATAGAGAATGACAAGGATATACTGTTGTCAATTCCAAGTTTTGGTTTAGAGAATCATGCCAGAATCAACACCAGTCTTAGGTTCAACAAAATCTAAGGATAAAGTATAGAATAGAGTGATGTCTAGTGTTTTCTCTATCTTAGGATTACAGTTTATCAGTAAAATAGTAATATTGTAATAGATAATTACTATTCAACTTAATTACAAGTGCTGGTTAGTTATTATATCTTATCAGAAAATAGAAGTGTACTTGAACTGGACCTACATAGATTTATTTTGAATGAATAATATCAACTAATAAACAAACGTTTTCATGACCTCTGTGGCCGAGTGGTTTGTATGCCGGGTTTCATGGTGTCACTGACTTGAGAGGACCTGGGTTCGAATCGCAGTAGGGGGCAGATGTTTGTGTGATTAATACGAGCACTTGTACTCCAGCCATGGATGTATAATATGTATTTCTATATAAATATACTTTTATATGTACAGTATAATATATGTATTCAATCCGTTACCCTAGCATCCCATAACACAAGCCTTACAGTGCTTACTTTGGGGCTAGGCTAATTGGTGTGTGTATAAAAAAAAATTTAGTTTAATTAAAAGTTTTTGATGGAATGTGGAGTAAACTTTATGGCTGGCGTATTTTAGACAAGCAATAATGTCTTTAATTATCAAGTTTTTTACTAACAGTGTATTAATGTATTGTTTTTAGGGATAAAGCTGGTGGTTATGGTATACAAGGAGTGGGTGGAACTTTTGTGGAGCGTGTTGAAGGAGATTATTTCACAGTGGTAGGATTACCTATTTACAGATTGTGTTCGGTGCTATATAACATGTTTAAAGAGGCAAAATAGCTAGTAAGACAAATTTTACACTGCATTTTAAAATAAGAATGATTAAGAATAAGTTGTTATAATGTTTCCTATTGAATGACGTTTTTTTTACTTTACTTTTTACTTGTTCTGTGTTATTAGTTCACTTTATAAATAATATAGTTATTTGTTGTATGTCACATGTACACATAATAGTTATACATTGGTGTCGATGGATTACTATTTAAGTACTATACCTAATAAATAACAGACTACCTGAAATAAATTTAAACGGTTAGTTATTAATTATAAATTTTTATTTTGTTTTCACTTGTCGTACAGTAAGTGATGACATTTGGTATTTATAGCTTATTAATAAATTTTTATGACATCACCAATGCAGAGTTTCCTGAATCGACTCCCGGCTGGGACAATACAGAAAATGTTCTATATTGACTCGGGTCTGGGTGTTTGTGGTCGTTGCGTTGTTTCTTCTTTCTATAACACGAGTGCTTCAGCTACCAGAGACCAGTCAGTGCAATGTATGTGATCTTGAATTATAGGCTACCTTGAAAGGTTCAGATTACTGAACTAACGCATGGTACACAGGTGCGTGGCACCAAAGCAAATATCAAGTCAAAAAGGGAATATCATCTCGCGTCATTACACTATAACGCATCGTGTTGTGAATACGTACCGTGAATATTAAGTTTTTATCAAAATTGTGCCGCCTTGTTCAAACATTGTAAAAATTGTTCTCAAAGACAAAAAAGTCATAACTTTTGACTCCGTATTTGCTTTGGTGGCCGCACTTGCGTGTTCCGTGCGTTCCATCTGCCTTTTATTCTGTAATCAGAGTTTAAAGGTATCTAAGATCTATGCATAAACTAAAGCAGACTAAGGCCTGTATTATTAGAAAGATTCTTAGTGATTGATCTAGTCTTGAGCATAGTTAGATGTCGCTATATATAACACATAGCGACATCCCTTTCTAACTGTACTTAAGTAAAGATAAACACTTAGTGAGTGAGGAGCTCGATGGCGCCAGTGTTAAGCGCGTTCGGCTGCGGTCGTTGAAGTTAAGCAACTTTCGCAGTGGTCGGTCATTGGATGGGTGACCAAAAATTTACTATCTCGAGCTCCTCCGTGCTTCGGAAGGCACGCTAAGCCGTTGGTCCCGGCTGCATCTGCAGTCGTTAGCACCCACCAATCCGTACTGGGCCCGCGTGGTGGGTCATGGCCCAATCTCCCTATTCCATCCATAGGGAAGGCCTGTGCCCCAGCAGTGGGGACATTAATAGGCTGATGATGATGAAACACTTAGTTGTCATTCTGTAATACGGGCCTTAGTCGTCGTCCTAATTGGCAACGATTGTGCGATGACGCGATGCGATCTCATCGTGCGATGAAAATATTGTACCTGCGCTCATGCGACGGGCTACAAGCAGACCCGTCTTTCCCAGTGGGTACTTTGGGCAAGTGCACAGGGCCCGCGATCGATAAAGGGCCCCCCTCAGATCAAATACAAAGTCCCTAGTTCCTGTCAGGTCACCAAACGATAACCAATATTTATTACCAAAAAACTTATATAATTTGGATGAAATCGAACCTTAATTACTGACTACAATACCAACTTAATAGCTTTTATTTAACTCGCTCCATTTCAAGTCATAATACACATCAAAGTTATAGGGGCCCCATTATCCTAATATGTCCAGGGCCTCCAATAGGTTAAAGTCGGCCCTGGCTACAAGCTATATTAGTACACCTTTGAAGAAATCTCTTTTTGGAAATCATCGCACGACGAGAACTTAACTTAGAAACGAGATTACAGAAGAAAAGGCAGCGCACGGTACACGCAATGCTTCTTCAAAGCAAATACGAAGTCAAAAGTGGTTTTTCTGTGTCTAAATATTATACTACCTTGATAATGACTTTCGTTAAGAGGAACAAATCATTATCTTCACTTGGTATTTGTTCAAATTACGGACATTAAATAACTGTGAATGCTGATTTCGAATTTCTCAATTACATCTGAATTCAATTTAAGTTCAATACGGGGACAAATTAACTTTATTCCCGTTCTGGATTGGAAGTAAAAGAATTTTCCCTCAAATAGCTTTCGTAAGATTAAAATAATATTGTATACGCTGGGCTGGCATCTTTTCGTTTTTGATGTGTAACATCTTTCCTCTCGCTTTCCTGTAATTTGTGGCAGTGATTTCGTGAAATGGGACGGAATTGTGTAACAGGAAGTCGCGAAATCGCGCGCTATTTGATTTGATTTTAGAACATAATGTTCAAATGGCTTATTCCTTTTGCAATAGGTTTTTATTTTACTAATATAAGGTGAGGTTTCAAATGTTACACATCATACGCGACTACTGTAAGGCTCGCTCGTTTTTTTGTCTTTGTGAACAGTTTGCACTATGTAGGAATAAGGTGCCGCCTTTTCATAAAAACTTAATATTCACGAGACGTATTCAAAACACGATGCGTGGTGTACTAACGCGAATTGATGGTGGCTTTTGATTTTGTATTTGCTATGGTGCCACGCATTGCGTGTTCCGTGCGCTCCTTCTGCATTTTGTTTTGTAATCTGAGAGATTTATAAAATATCTATGCAATCAAGATCGTTATCGTTGTGCGCCTGATAAAAAATAACATGATAGGCAAGCTAACAATAATGCTATTCGTGTAGTGCGTAGGTACACGTAGTGAATAAAAAGTAAACAATAAATAAAATTAAAACTCAATATCCAGATGAATGGAATGAATAAGGTCTTAACGCATGAATAATTATGAAAAAGCGCCTTTTTAAAATTTAACACCAAATATGCAACAATAAGATTTACTTTAAGATTATTGCAATCATTGCCATGTTAGTTTTGCCAGTCAACAGGATTATCCCAAATCCTTTTTCTGCTTCTAATCTAATGAAGTTATTATATTTTTGGATAAAAATTGGTAAGGATATGCTTTTGATTATTTTATAAAAAAAAGTTACCATTAATGTAATAGACTTCATAACGTCAACTTATTTAGTGCCTTCTATATGGAATGAAATTTATAAGTGAAAACGTCGTTTTGGCATATTGAAAAAGACACATACTAACTACCGCAGAGCCGGATTTAAGGCAGCAGGCTGTGGCCCAGGGGCAAGGGACAAAGAAAAAAAAATAACTAACTGCAAATCGTAAGTTACCCGGCGGCTTTCCAGATTTGAAAATAGACCTCAAAATCCGTCACTGAACTAGGTACCTACTTCATTCTAGGTAAGTAGGTATCCGGGATTCGCAATAACGATCACTAACAGCTGGGCGGGCCGTCAAATTATCTACCTACTAGTTACATCCTGGAGAAAAAATAATTTTCATCATCATAACACCATCATACATTTACATCGGTGATCCGATAAAAAATATTACATGAACAGTTGTGTAATATTCAACCACTACTCTTCACGCACACTACTCTTGAATAGAAGTGGCGATTTGTGGAAAGGACCTGCGTACATGATAAAACACGTGGTGGTGGGTGGTGTTCTCCAGGTAGGTGTCTTGCAATGGCTGATTTATTAGACAGGCTTTCACAGCGGCGATGTGTTCTTTTACCCTTTCATGTATGTTTCTCTTTGTTTGGCCGATGTAGGAACTGCCACAGCTACAGAGTATTTTGTTGATCCTCGGTGTTTGTACCACGAAGTTACTGACTTTTATGCCAGCAGTACCCAGTGGCGTAGCGTAGTGGGGGCGGCATGCAGGGGCGGCAAAATTTTACAATAAATAATAAAAATATTTGAACCATTTAAATAAGAGGGCAGCAAAATTGTCCTTCGCCCGCTGGGAGTACCTATATATTGTCGGTATGGAGTACCCACGCAAAGATCCCGATCTTGTCTGTTACTCCTTTAACATAAGGTGAGTACCGGTTGAGATGTACGAGTATCGATAGGTCCCATACATCAAGTGGTATTTCAAGCTTCTCCATGCTTTGCAATCGCAAGGCACGTTGAGCCGTTGGTCCCGGCTGCAATTACATTCGTTAGCATAGTTTAGCACCCACCATTTCGTATTGGGCCCGCGTGGCGAGTCATGGCCAAATTTCCCCATTCCTCTGGCAGTTGGGAAAATAATAGTTTGTCAGTTATTTATTAATCTAGCATTTACTTGACCTTTTACCTCCTTTAGCACTCGCTTGCTCTGCTTTAAGTTCTTTGATAGTTGTCTGTTCTTCAATAGGGAAAGCCCCTATTATAGAAAGATTCTCAGTGATTGATCTAGTCTTGAGCATATTTAGAAAGGGATGTCGCTATATATAGCACATAGCGATATCCCTTTCTAACTGTACTCAAGTAAAGACCAACACTTAGTTGTCATTCTGTAATACGGGCATTGACCTCCATACACTCGCTTGACTGTTTTTTTTTGTTTATGCATAATAGGCAATGCGTTTGACCACAATCTCACCTGATGGAAAGTGATGATGAGGCCTAGGATGAGGCCTGTTCACTCTGGCCTTGAAGATGTCCAGATTTTATTGTTCTTACGGTAACAGAGGCGGGATCTCTCAGCAGGCCTGGCAGGTTCAATGCCACGTAGTTTGCTTTTGCAGTGTCCTCATCTTAGGATCTTCTTAGGCTTTTTGACGTACTGATAATACTGATATACAAGCCGACACCCAGGTATTCGGTCAATTTTTCTCTGATTGATTAGGCTAATAATGATGACATTAAAAGTATGGGTTACATAAAGCCCATAATTTTCTAAATATCTGTAAGAGAAGGTTTTCCTATTTCTTTACTGCTCGGTTTTCCGCGTAGTAGGCACCGGCATTGTTTTTGTTGTGTTGTTCACGCACGAGATGCAAAGGTGTTCAGGTACATGCATACCGGTTGATGTTAGTTAGTGTCATAACGCATGGGAGCGCGGAAGACATTACGTACAAAAGTGAGGTGAATTTATCGATGACTTTCGCAACGACATTTTATACATAAAATCCTAGAAATTCAAAGAAATGTTTTACCAGAAAGAACCTAAATTCACCTCAAATATTAGACAGAAAATTCGTAAGAAGAAGTAGCGATGAAGATTTACTACATGTACTTTTAAATAGCTTCCACCCGCGATTTCGTCCGCGTAATAGTTATTTGAGATTCCCACTGGAACCTAACATTTTTTGCGGGCTAAATAGTATACCATCTCAATCCATTCAGACGTTTTTGCGTGATTGACTAACAAACATCTTCATCAAACACACGACCTTTCACATTTATAAATATGAATAGGATAAAAAATACTGTTAGATTTTTATATCCAAAGATTTTTTTACCTGAAAAAATTTGATTTAGACCACTCTCTTGTTAATTGTTACTAACCAAAATCTAAGCCAAAGCTT